GGTCAGTGGAGATCTAATGGTGGGGAGGGTAAGGGAGATTACAAGAAGTAGGGGAGAGATATTCGGGGTTGTAGGAAGGAGGGGTTGTGAGGAAGGGGTTTAGTTACCGTACGTGGTACTCTCCATAATGTTTTTGAATTCAGGAGTTGTTTTGTAATAAAACCAGCAAGCCCAAGTCGTGGTATATTTACTCAGGCTGCCTTGGACTGTGTGGATAAGTTCCTACATTTCCACTACTCCAGTTTCTCAGTAAGGGAGCTTTTGTTGTTCTCCAGCTCGTTGGAATTCACATCCTAGCTGCCTTACCCATATTATTGGCCAAAGATTTCATATATTGTTTCCTAAGTAAGCATGCGAGATGCAAAATGTATTGAGAGGGGGAGAAATCTAGTATATAAGTACGTTCAATCGTGATAATTCAGTGTACATTTGACCAATCCGTCTGGGAAATGGGACATTTCCAGCACATATTCACTTTGAAATCTTTGGGAAGTTTTTTCTGAAGTAGGGAGGGTGGTCTGTACCATCAGGAAATGTCTAATCTGTAGATAAGACCAAATGGGGCTTCTGGGAGATGTTAACTGTTACTGGGCCAGAAACTGAATCTCTCCAACAGGGGGCTTGTAACTGTTCTGCACTATATGTGCTACTGGACATTGCCTCAGACATGATTTTTGGAGAAGTAACAAATTATTCTGACATCAATATTTCTTATAAAAAGATGTGACTGTCACATAGGCCCTTGGTTGCTACAATACTAACATCTGGAATAGAAACAAAATATCTTGCGCAATGTCATCTGAGTCTTGTTAAATATTTATAGCTAAACTCTTGTGATTTAATACTTCGCCCTTGAAAAACGAAAAACACTGACTTTTCTAAAGTTACCATGTGGCAGCTAGACCTAGTAGACCTCTGGGGGAATGTATAATGTCAGGCCAATGATTTCCAGTCAAAACCTTCTATGATAAGTGTTAGTAAACATTTGATATTGGTCAGGTTATTTTTTTTTTTATTTTTTTTTTTTACTGTTGTATTTTAATTTTTTTTTCTTTTGTAAAGTGTATTCAAACCCCAAAACAAAAATGTAATTGACAGATTACCTATTGATAGTATCTATCTTTTTTTTCCCCCTTTCTAACCACAAGTCCGCGGTGTTACACCCCCTTCCAATCCAGGCCATTTTTCAGTATTTAGCGCTGCGGTACTTTTACTGACGTTTATTCCATCATGCAACGCTCTACTGAACTGAATTTTATACAATTTTTTTAGGGACACATAGAGCTTTCTTTTGGTGGTATTTAATCATCACTGGGGGTTTTTATTTTGTAATGAGGAAAAATTACCAAAAAAAAAACCTGTTTCCCCTAAATTAAATGATAAAACATTTGTTACCCAATTTTTTGGTAAAATATAAAAGGCGGGGTAACGTCGGGTAAATAGACACCAAACATGTCAAGCCTTAAAATTGCGTGTGAAACCTCAAAAGACTACAATACCCAAAATTGGCCATAGGCGACGCTTTAAAAGCTTTTACCGCTCATATGTTTAGTGTTCGTGGCGATTTGTAACATGTGTAGCGCAATTGTCATTTTCGCACGCTGGCGCATCAAATGCATATTTACGTTTATATGTGTGTGTAAACGTGGGGGACTTGGGATTTAACTTTCTATGTATGTAACTTTAATTTTTTTACTTTTTAACTTTTTAAAAAAAATGTATACACTTATTTGTTATTGCTATTACATAGGGGGATAACAATCCCCCTATATAATAGCAAAGGCACACAGAGACCCCTAATGTCTCCATAAAGAGGACCTGTCAGAGACCCCTAATGTCACCTGGGGACCCCAAAAGAAGCTGATGAAGCACAGATCTGCTTCATCAGCTTCTTCTCCCTGGCTATAGCAGCCAGAGGACTGACAGGTGAATGTATTGCACAGAAGTGTATTACACGTTACTTCCGCATTCACAGTACGGAGGGAGATCAGCAAGGAGGAAGATGCTGAGCTCCCTCCCAACTTGCCTCCTGACGCCCTCCCGAGCCGGTTCCAGAACGCAGATGAGCTAGCAGATCCCGGGATTGAAGGTGAGGAGTCAGGAGGGGGCGGCACTCGAGGGGGGAGAGCAGCAAGTTAGCACATACATACGATCGGTAGGCTATAGAGCCACCGATCATATGTATGTCAAACAGCCAGTAACGGCTGTAAGGAACGGGCGGGTTTTTTCTGCCCGTGCGCGCGCAGAAAAAAAAAGTTGTCTGGAGACGGCAACCCATAAATGTGTGCCCGCCGTCCGTCTGTTTTTTCACAATGGGCGGATGGCAAAAGGTTAATTTTATCCAGTGATCTGAGCAACAACACACTTCCTGTCTTAGGCTCCGTTCACACCAGGGCGGTTCGCGTGGATTTTTCCACACTGAACCTCCAACAGTAAAAAAAAAAAAAACATTTATTCCTATGGGGCCCATTCACGCAATCACGCGTTTCAATCCGCCTGCTGCCCAAACTGCTCCCTGAGCTACTTTTTCAGCGCTGATCATCGCGTTTTCCATATAGATTTCATTGGAAACGCGATGATCAGCGAGTTTTGGGGTGTTTTTAATTGCGTTTCGGTGCTGAAACGTAATTAAAAACGTCCTTTCAAAAATTGTGTGGAAATCGCGCTGGACCGCTGCCGCCCTGGTGTGAATGGGGCCTTAGGGTGGCTCCACTCACTCCTCCACTGTACTTGTAAAGCAGCATTGTCCCCCTCTGGAGAGCTTGGTGTTAGATGGACTTGTAGATTTTGATGACCTCACAAAACTGACTCAAGCCATGACCCCAGTTGACACAATCTAACCAGTTACAGCAACAGTTTCTTGAATAAAGGCTTTTAACTATATGAATAAAAGCTGGCCCCTGTCAGTGGTAAATGGTTTGTCTCAACTCTCCAACTTCCACTCTTGCTGGAGAAGTTGGTCTGGGATAGGAAGTTGAAAGAAACAAAGGCTGCCGTGTTAGTGCTTTCCACAAACTGCATCATGAATGTATTTATTTTTTTTTGCACATAGTTCCACTTTAAAGCAGAACTCCGGGCAAAACCGTTCTTAACCCTTGCAGTAGGGGCTATCCCAGCACTGCAAGGGTTAAGTGCTAATTTTTTTGTCTAGGTGCTAAAATAACCACCTGATCCTCTGAGCTGGCCTAACGCCTCTCTTCCTCCTCCGCTGCAGTGATCTAAGGTCCTCAAGTCATCATACTCTATACACAGTGTATAGGACATCGGACACCGAGGGGTAGAGAGGCTGGAGGGAGCGCTGTGACAGCCAGCACTCCCTCACTCCAAGGATTGGGTAAGTTATAACTTTTTGTCTTAACCCCCCTCCAAAAAAACGAGCCCTTAACCCTTGGGGGTAGCCCCACTGCAAGGGGTCTTAAGAACAGTTTGCCCTGAGGTCTTCTTTAAAGAGTAATTCTACTTTTCCCATGTGAATTTGGGGAAATTGGAATTGCCCCTACCAATCTACCCACACTGCTCTTACCTGTTAATGAACGCTCCTTCCCTTCTGTGGCTGCCAGTGCACACAACAGTGCAGCCCTGTGCTCAGTATTCAGTATTTTTATTGCTGCTCGCAAATGGCGAGCACTCATTGGAAGAAGAAACACTTCTCATTAGTCGGTTTGTTCAGGTGACTGCGCTGTCCAATCAGTGCTAGCCATTTGTGAGCGGATTTTATAATGCTGCCCACAGGGCTGTGCTGCTGTGTACGTTGTATGGGTCCTACATCAGCAGCCACGGAGAGGAAGAAGCAATCGTTGACAGGGTAGAGGTTAAGGGATGAAAGGGGAAAATTGGTGGGGGTAATTCTATTTTCCCAAATTCACCTGGAAAAGTGCAATTACCCTTTTTAATTTGGTGTGTGTGTGTCTGCACAGTTTTCTTAGTCCTACCACAAACATCTGTTAACTCCTGCTAGGCCAAGTCAAGCAGCCTCCTGTGAGGGGACAATGTTGTTGTGCTTATTCTGAATTCAGAGCAGCGTTGTCACCCTCAGGCTGTGCCTGATGAAGGGGGTGTGGTTATCATCATTGTTACTGCTAATTTACAAGCATGTCAATCAGAACCTGGCCACACCTAGTCCTACCTCCTGGATTGACAGCACCTGCCTCTGTTGCTGAAACCCTCCCAAGTTTGGCACCTGTTTAAACTGTCATACTGGAGCATACTCTAATTAACCCTTTCACTGCCGCTGACGTACGCCATACTTCGGCAGCAGTAGGCCCTATAAGGGAACTCCCAGCTGAGCCTGTTTACATGTGTAAAGCTGAATGTCGGTTTTACCCTGATGTAAGTGTAAAAAAAAAAAATGTTACAAAAAATAAAGTTAAACAAAATACATGTAAAAACCCTTTTCAAAAGTCCCCTGCCCTGTCAGGTGCACCTATGTAGTAAACCACTATTATGCCACACGCTGGTTTGAGAGCAATAATTCCAGGTCGTTATTCATGGTTAACTCTAAATTGATGACCTGTAAAAGCGTATAAATCATTGCCTTTAGACAATTTTGGGTACTGTAGCTTTTTTTTTTTTGTTGCCATTTCACAGCCGCGCTCAAATTTGAAGCCTGGCATGTATGATATTTATTTACTTGGTGCAACCTCACCTTTTTATACTGAACAAAAATGAGGTAATCTATTGTGTCTGTGTGCACTAAACTGAACATGAGCATATTTTTTTTAACAAAAAATCTGTATTTGACTGCCACCATTTTATTCTACAGGGTGTGTGCTTTCAGGAAAAATATCTATCTATATTCTGGGTGGTTTTAAGTAATCTTCAGGCCAAAAATGTGTGCAAAAAAAAAGCAAAAACGTCTCTGGCAGTGAAAGGGTTGACAAAGATAAAATGATACATGGATATTATGTTTTGATAAACTCTCTGATCATGCATCATTCTTTATTATTGTTGTTATTCAGTCTGTGTGATTAACCTAAATAAATGTGTGCTTCTGATTACAGATGCGGCCCTCGTTGAAACCATTGTAATTACTCATGATGCTGAGATGGAGGCGATTAACTCCTGGTGAGTGTAGGAGGCCAGCAATCTTTAATCCAATATTGAACATTTGGGTGGGGAGAGTCTGTAAACAGCTGTAAAATTGCAAAATGGTTGGGCTGTAGCATAGTTCCTCAGCCTGTGTGTGTGTCAGTATGTATATAGAATACTTGAGTATACATCTGTTTTATGAGGATAGGTACAGGATATGTGCATTTACAGAATTTACATGAAGTAGGATCAGTTACTAAGAATAACCTCTTTTATTCAGCACATTTTCAGAATAGCAAGCGTTATACCTGCCAATATTGTCAGGATCCTCCCCATCTTTCTAACCACTGGATCTGCCTCTTGGTGCGCAGCTGAAAACTAGCAGCGCCCACTCCATCCCCGTCAGTCGCTCCAGTCACCACCGGAGCAACTGAGAGGGGAAGGGGAAATCACAGTGGAGGAGCCGCTGGAAGCAGAGACCTATAGCTGTCAGATCAGTGGTCATGTGATCAGTCAGGTTTTAGAGCTGGCAAGGTATAATTGCAGCATAAGGAGGAGTGCATGTGAAAAGAGCTAATAAACATGGCACCACCCGGCTCTACAGAAAGTGACCTTTCACCTAGCCAGGTGGAATGTTGTTGGGCGAACTGTGACTGCACCCCATCACCTGAGAGGATCTGCCTGTCGGAATACAATAGCCTGGTAGGGAAGATTCCTCCATCTACACTGTTTAGCATGGATGGGGGAATCTGTTCAATTTGGTTTTTTTTTCTTCAGCCCTCAGGCTGAAAGGAATTCATCTATAAGTGTATAGCCATCTTGGGCATGAATTTCCAGCTCCTGAGTGTGAAAGGATGTACATACGGACTTGAATGTTGCCTTCATTCAGTGGGCCCTCCGTTGGCAGAACGCTGACAGCGGAGGCAGAACAGAGCGTGCAGAAGAGCTTGATGCTCCTCTACATTCAACGTCTTGTATGAACGTGACCTGAGGCATGTGACACTGACTTCTGCTCAAGTGGCTTGTTTCATGTTGAATGTATACAGTCATGATTATTTTTATGTGTCACTGGATATTTATAAATGATCATAAGCCAAAAAACGGATACCTTTTGCACTGCCAAAACAAAGCCTTCTGTCACTTGTGTACTTTAATGTGTTTCTAGTTTTTACTGTGATACCTACATATTTACTCATACACTTTATTATATCATGTAGTTAGGCAGCATGCACTAAGTTGTCTATCATTTTTGGCAGCAACCTTCCCTTTAAACCTAATGTTCTTGTATTTGGTAGGATAATGTTATATAATGCCACTATACTCCGCTTTAAAGGAAATCTGTAGTGAAAGATAAAGCGGCTGCCGCTACAGGCCTCATTCTAAGAATAGTAGTTGTCTCCCTATCTGTGGCCTTCATGCTGTTTTGAGTTTGGAAACATGGATGCAGATTATTATAAAGTCAAACTATAGTCATAACTTGTGATCTGCATACTTGCTCCAGGCCAGCGTCTCAAATTATTGAAGACGGCTTCAATTTCAGAAGGAGAGGTCAGCAATGATCACCTCAATGCTTGTTTTTACATTATTAACCCCACCGGATGGTTTTTATTTGTACAATCCCATCGTCTTTTTCACAGAGAACAATACGCAGAATTGTAAAATCACCAAACACTTTACAATATGCTAGAAAGTGCGAATACATCTCCAGATTATCCACAATTATTTTATAAATAAGAACCATCACCTGCTAAGAAATTGGCTCTAAATGTAGTAAATTCACCATTTATTGTTGTATTGGTAATTTAAATCCCTTTTTATTTTGTAGCCCAAGAAAACCGGACCCAACAGGACCTCTCTACCCTGTGGACCTCTGGACTGTAGAGCAAGAACAATGTTTGAACTGCAAACTGCGCCTGACAGGGCCAGCTATGGTAAATGCTGCTAAATCCATTTCCTCTTTACCACACGTTCATCAATGGGAGGGTCCTATATCTACATGCATCACCCTAAAAACAATTAAAAAGGCCTCTTCCTAACTGGTACTCCTCCAGTCCCCCGTAATAGGTGGCCAGGGCTTGAAAAATTTTAGGGCGTCTCACCAGTCAGTGAAAAATGCCACCAGGTCAGCATGACCTGACTATAGCCTTGCAATTTATGTTAAAAATGTTTGGGGACAGATAAAGCTTTCTTTTGGTGGTATTTAATCACCACTGGGTTTTTTTTTATTTTTTACTCTATAATGAAAAATGTTAGCTTAGGGTAACGGGAGGACGCTAGTTTGTGTCCTCCCGTTACCCTAAGGAGAACTATGGGGAAAAGCCTTAACCCCATAGTTCTCCTTTTTTAAATAAAAAAAAAAAAAAGAAGTTTCCCTATGTTATGTTATAAAATATTTATTCTTACCCATATTTTTAGTAAAACGTAAAAGTCGGGGTCATATCGGGTAAATAGGCACCAAACATATCAAGCATTAAAATTGCGCGCGCCCGCAAAATCGCAAAAAACAACCACACTGAAAATTGGCCATAGGCGATGCTTGAAACACTGTTCTTGCTAATCACTTTAGTGTTATCAGTAATTAATGGCCCTAAAATTATTGCTCACACACCAACGTTTGCGGTGATATGTAACATGTGCGGCAGAATAGGCGCAATCGTAGTTTTCACACGTAGGCGCACCCAACGCATATCTGCATGTGTATGTGGGGGGCGGGGACTTACATTTTTTTTTTTTGTATGCTTCTTTAAATTTTTGTATTTGTTTTTTTTGGGGGTTTTTTCTACACAACTATATTGCCATCACATAGGGGGTTAAGAAGCCCCCCATGTGATAGCCAATTTACATGACAGGTCCTCCTTTATGGAGACATCAGGGGTCTCCAGGGCCCCTAATGTCACCCAGGGACCCCCAGAGAAGCTGATGAAGCAGAGATCTGCTTCATCAGCTTCTGTAGCTGGAGAGTGACACTGAATGCAAGAAGTGAAGTAATATACATCACTTCCTGCATTTAGGGACTGAGGAGATCAAAGGGAGATTGTGTTACCAGAGCCAACATTAATCCCGCAAGCTACCCTAGAGCCAATATTAACCCCGCACAGCTAACCCAGAGCCGATATCAACCACGCACAGTACCCCAGAGCCGATATCAACCACGCACAGCTACCCCAGAGCCGATATTAACCCCGCACGGCTACCCCAGACCCGCTATTACCTGAGACCCTGCAGAGCACACCATGGATCTTGCAGAGCCTACCTGAGACTCTCTATGGTGGGTGGGCTCCGCAGGGCCCCAGGTGAGCTGGTCGTCAAGGTCCCTTTTCCTGTACCTCCTCCCAACTCTTCTTACCTGCTGCTGCTGGGGCATGGCCTCCTCCACCCCCTCCCGTCATCTCTGCGATGCCGCCCCTGGTACAGCTGATACCCATGTAAGGGGCCCCTCAGGCTGCCCAGACCCCTCACATGGGTACTGGCCGTACCCCCCTGATGGCAGACATGCCAACTCTCCCAGACGCTCCGGGAGTCTCCCGCTATTAGATAACGGCTCCCGGACGGGCTGGATTACGTTAAAATGTGTGACAACGCGACCGGTCACACACTCTAACGTAGTCACAAACTTTGGTAGAACAGAAGCCCTGTATGTAAACATTTAATTAGAGAAATAGACTATAATAGGGAACATTACAGTGTAACGTTCCCCATTTATAATCCACTTTACTATTTGAAACAAAAGCACATAACCCTCGCACCCCTAACCCCCTCCTCCCCCTCGCCCCCGTCGGCTCTGACTCACCCAGCCAGCGGCGCAGGATCTCTCAGCCAGACTCTGTGCTCACTGCAGGGGTCGGGGCGTGTGACTGACTCCTCTCCCGCCACCTGTAACTAGGGACACGGTCGGGAGAGGAGAGCCCGCCCCCTTACTGAGTCGGCAGTGCGGGACCCGGTGTTCTAACACCGGGACCCTGCACGGCCCCATAGTCCACGGGGGTCCCGGTTACGCCACTGCATCGGGCATAGCGGCTGTGCGGGCTGAACACAATCAGGCTGATTGTGTTCGGCCCGACATGCCCTATGGCCAGCCGGCCATGGCGGAGGGGCACACGGGGGGGGCAAGCAATAACCTAGGGGGGGGCAATTGCCCCCCCTCGCCCCCTGTAGCGACGCCACTGCACAGCGGATCTCGGGATCGGCAGTGACAGCTGCTCCTATACAAGTGATCGGGCGTCTCTAGAGACGTCTGATCGCTTGAATGTAAAGCCCCCGGATGGCCGTGTAATTACAATGGCCGGCCGGGAAGCTGCTCGTCGGGCTCCGACGTCGTCTCGTCACAGATGAGATTTTTCAAGCCCTGTAGATGGCGCTCTTGTTACTCATCAATAAAACCCTGCTGAATGAAGTGGGATAACTGAATTTTAAAAAATTACCTTGTTTTAAGAGACTAACCCATCATCCTAAAACCCAATTGAACTCTTAGTTCCAATAATCCAATAAATGCATTCCAGTTGTATCAAAACAAAAGACTAATGGTTTGTTTCTCTATAGCAACCACCGTCTGAGTAGAACAGCCTATTTCCTGGCAGTATGCTGCAAAGTGAGGCCCATGCTCTTTGTGTGGAAGCAGTGGTCTTTCCAAAGTAGTCTTTGCAATCAGAAAAGCTCATGCTCTTGGCTAATTGGAGAGATCTGGTTCAATAGATGGCATGTCAGACCAGGTGAAAATAAAGGGCAAAGTCTAAAAAAAAGAAAACTAATGCAGCCCCTTCAACTAAGGCATGCTAAACTGCAATATATTACATTTTTGTTTTTGGGTTTAGATATGCTTCAGATTTACCCCACCACCCTGTGGTGCATCAAGGACAAATACCTTCAGCTACATTGTGAGATGCACTCAGGAGAGGGAATTTAGAAAAGAAAATTGTACAAAGATACAATTTTTACCCTTAACACTTTTTCCACATACAGAATGGCATTTATAGTAAGCATCGGGAAGACGCACAGAGTGTTCCTTTTGGTGTGTACCTGTGGCTCACACATTGCCTGTACAGTGTGACAGTGTGAAAAATGAAATGCATTAAAACACTGCATTGTGTACTTTTTAGAATGATATTCTATATAAGAGGCGAAATGTGTGGGGGTTTTTTTCTTCTGTATTCTAGTGGATTGTAATTTTTATTATCCATTACATTTCTTGTGGTATTAATGTATACAATTTCAGTATTCTCTTTAAACCGCCTACTCACTCGGCTACATATCTTGGGTGACTCACATTGGAAGTTTTCTGTCTTTGCATTCCCTTTCAGGTGGTCTCCCACTACAAGTTTCACCCAGAATGCTTCTCGTGCTCTGGCTGCAAAGCATTGATAGAGGAGGGGGAGTCATTCAGTTTGGTGGACAGCACAGCACTTTTCTGGTGAGAACTATGGATTTTGGCCTATTTGGAATCAGTGGTCTTTCTATGTGTGAATGTATTAAACAGATATTCATAATGGGTATTATTCTGACTCCGATCGTTGTGATAGCGAAATATATCCCTTGCTGAGACCTCTATGCCTGGCCTGTATAAGCAGATTTACTCACTGCGGACAATCCTCGTCAGACAGCTGAACTCGTCAATACCGATTCATTCAAAAGAGGTGTTTATTCTTTACATCAGGATTACAGCAGATGATAGGAACAGCAGATGAATGGTTATAGTATTGTGCGGTCAGAAAATGATGCCTTTCCTACGTACTGTGCAGATTACCTGAGTGTCCTTGTTACATGTGGCTTTCAACTGTGCCCATGACACAGGAAGTACTGCACACAGGAAGAAGGGTGGGGCTACACTAGGGGAAAATACATCGTCACATGAGGAATAATTACAGAAAACATGTTTGTTACAACAAAAGGCCACTAGATGGCAGCATAGGATAACACATGAATTTAGCTATGAGAAAATAGTTAGGCAAATCACACTATATAAATTCTAACCTATATAACAATGCTAATCTTAACTGAGGCTATGCATCTCATATTCTATGCCCCTGTTGGGGCGGCACAGGTATACACACTTTGTGTGTCAATGTGATAGGCTTAAAGGAGAATTATGGGGAGAGTGAAATGCACTCATCCCCATAATGAGAGCTGACCTGTGACACTGAAGCTGTCACACGTTGGCTCTATAGATCGAGAACTGAGCGATCACATACAGCTGATCACCCAGTTCCCGATCTTCTGTCACTGATCACAGTCACTACTAAGAGTAGTGACTGTCAGTCATCGCTCTCCATAGGTATTCCCCTTTTCATTCCTCCAACACTGACTGGAGGGGCAGGGGGCAGGCTCAGCTCGCTCTGCCTCTAGAGGGGCAGAGGCAGCTGTCAATCAGGTGGGGAGGGGGGTGGATCCCGTCAATATTGTTGGGATGTTTCTCGCTGCAGCACGGCTCGGCACTGTCAGCATATAGCGGGCAATAGCCGTCTATATGCTGAGTTTTGGTTCACTGGAGGACATAATAAATGTCCTCCTGTGACCCTAAAGAGAACTATGGCCAAAAATGCTTGGGCCATAGTTCACTTTTTTAATTTTTTTTTTAGCAACACTTGTATCTGTTGTTATTGTTAAACTTGTGAGTATATGTGTCTACCGATTTTGTATGCATACAGTATGTGCTGATTACCTTCCCTTAGGGTGTATTTATTACCAATTCACTGAACTTAGGAAATCTTTCTGAACGTTCATTCTGTGATGCAGAAACAAACATTTTTAGATACAAATTTCTTTTCAGGTCAAATGTAATATTGCATTTTGCCCACTAGATGGAGCTAAAGAGCATGGAAAATACGTATTCATTTCCTTTCCTCCTTGGCTTTTATCTGGTGGCCATAATTTGGTATTTCCTAATATTACATTCACATATACACCCCTAAGTTAAAAAGTGTTGGCATAAAAAGCCTCCTATTTTTGGACAGCGTGCTTTCCAAGTGAGGCCCACATCAAGATTTCCAGAATCAAAGCTTGGGCACACAGCTACAATATACTACCAAAAGTATTGGGACGCCTGCCTTTACACGCGCATGAACTTTAATGGCATCCCAGTATTAGTCCGTAGGGTTTAATATTGAGTTGGCCCACCCTTTGCCGCTATAACAGCTTCAACTCTTCTGGGAAGGCGTCCACAAGGTTTAGGAGTGTGTCTATGGGAATGTTTTATCATTCTTCCAGAAGCGCATTTGTGAGGTCAGGTACTGATGTTGGGGGAGAAGGCCGGGCTCGCAGTCTCTGCTCTAATTCACCCCAAAGGTGTTCTATCGGGTTGTGGTCAGGACTCTGTGCAGGCCAGTCAAGTTCCTCCACCCCAAACTCGCTCTTTCATGTCTTTATGGACCTTGCTTTGTGCATTGGTGCGCAGTCATGTTGGAACAGGAAGGGGCCATCCCCAAACTGTCCCCACAAAGTTGGGAGCAGGAAATTGTCCAAAATGTTCTGGTTTGCTGATGCCTTAAAGTGACATTAAACCCTCAGATTGTTTAACATAAAACAATACTGTAATGTGTGCCTTACTGTAATCCATGGTTGTTTCCCTTCTCTTTGCTGCTCTTCCTTTTAAATCTGTATCTGTTCTCATGCTGGACAGAACTTCTGTTTTGCAGCAGACTGCCTTGTCTCTGAAAGGGATACATGGTGTCTGTGTGTTGGTTTGAAACCTGAGCCAGCACTACAGGAAGAGGCACTCAGCTGCAAAGGGAAGTTCTCCCCAAGCATGAGAAGACATGAGGATTTAAAAGGAAGAGCAGCAAAGAGAAGGGAAACAACCATGGATTACAGTAAGGTACACATTACAGTATTGGTTATGTTAAACAATCTGAGGGTTTAATGTCACTTTAAGAGTTCCCTTCACTGGAACTAAGGGGCCAAGCCCAACACCTGAAAAACAACCCCACACCATAATCCCCCCTCCATCAAACTTTACACTTGGCACAATGCAATCAGGCAAGTACCGTTCTCCTGGCAACCGCCAACCCAGACACGTCCATCGGATTGCCAGACAGAGAAGCGTGATTTGTCACTCCAGAGAACACTTCTAAACTTCTCTAGAGTCCAGTGGTGGCGTGTTTTACACCACTGCATCCGATGCTTTGCATTGCACTCGGTGATGTAAGGCTTGGATGCAGTTGCTCGGCCATGGCAACCCATTTCATGAAGCCCTCTACGCACTGTTGTTGTGCCAATCTGAAGGCCACACGAAGTTTGGAGGTCTGTAGCTATTGACTCTGCAGACAGTTGGCGACTTCTGTGCGCTGACCCCAATCTGTCATTTTACGTGGCCTACCATTTTGTGGCCGAATTGCTGTTGTTCCCAGTTGCTTCCACTTTGTTATAATACCACTAACAGTTGACCGTGGAAGATTTAGTACCAAGGAAATATCACGGAATACCTGAATCCAATGATTTGGAGGGGTGTCCCAATACTTTTGGCAATGTATTGTATCTTTTTGCACAATTTTGCCTTGTCTCTGTTGCAAAATGACTGAAGAGGTCCTGTGTCAGTCTGCAGAAAAGCAATGAGTGAGTATAATTGCTGCATATAATCTTTTGCTTTACATCATGTTAATGGTATTGCAGCATCAGGTAAGCACAGGTCACTTTTGCTGTTATGTAACTTATTCGGGGCTCATTTTTAACTGGTGTATTGCTACTTCTGTCTTGTAGAGGGATATTTGTCACAGAAATAATGGTAAACATGTTACAATATGTACTGCACCTTTTTGTTGTAGTTTGCACCCATATTTGGATAACTTGCCCCCATAATTGTGTAAGTTCACATATATCATATTGTCTTTTGTGAAGTGGTGATGTTCCGTATTGCTTACATCCATAGTGGTCCATGCCAAAAGCTGCTTCTTCTGCAACCGCATTTTGAGGGCCTCTGTAATGAATCGGCTCAGGAAACTCATCCCCACATGCTCACCCTTCTGCGTCTGCCTCCTAATGCAACTGGCAATAGGGGCTTCTCTGTATCGGTGGAGGACATGCAGGTCACAGAGTGAGTAGACACCTTTTTTAGTATTTCCAACCAATGCATTTGAAGTTCATAGAAGGGGGGGGGGAAATGACAAGATGGGAATGTTCTTATTTTTTATCTTATGTAATTGCAGAGTAACATTGGAGGCATGGAACTTGGTATACCCAGGGGACCGCATCTTGGAGATTAATGGCTCTCCTGCTATTTCATTACCTCCTAAAGAGGTCAGAAGGGATTGTGTTTTGTCAAGAATAGGGGTACCTAGATGGGATAGATGGTGTTGACAAGAAGGCTTAATTAATGTGTGTGATTGTTGGTAATTTGCCATCTGCTCCTCATAATCCCCTTCCTACCCCCTTCCCTCAGGCTGATAACCTGCTTTCCTGCTCAGACCGGACCCTGCAGCTTCTGGTAGAGCACAACCCCCCACTGGCTTCCCCAGTGACTAGAGCTCCCCCTAAATCTCCTTCTCTTCACCCTCGGGATGCAAGGGGCCTGAGTGAAAACAACACCAAGCGGAGCTCCATCCGGTCAGATCACCCTCACTGTTCAATTGCTTTTATTTGCCTTCATTAACACTTCTAAAATGACCAGCTTTTCTCTTATTATTGCATAACTCTCTACTAGCGCTAGTAAAATCTGTTAACTATTCCCTCTCCTATTAGGTAACCCTGCAGTCTTGTTAGTATTGGCACTTCTTGTACTGTATTACTGCCTGAACTCTTCTAGTGTATCTCTTGTGATCTAAAGCTGGCCATACAAGGACAAAGACATACAAAGCGGGCAGCCTGTTTTGGCGCAGTTGTGCAAAAGACCTATAGTGCTATGTGGTAAAAAAGCTAAAGGACGTCAGATCAGTGTTGGAGTTCTAGGGAAAGCACTTGGGTTGTAAATTACATTTATTTCCTTGCTGCTACCTTCTAATTTGGTAGACCTATGCAGTGAATCTTGTGCATCACCGGTGTGGACTTGAGGAGGTCACCCGATCTAATAGACCAGGTGTAGACAACCTCGGTACTTTAGCTGTGGTAAAACCACAAATCCCATTATGCCCATGCCTCTGAGAGTCGTGCCATTGGCTTTCAGTCTTGCAATTGCATGGGTTTTGTAGTTTCACCACAGCTGGAGTGCCGAAGTTGCTTACCCCTGCAGTAAACATTAAAACCAGACAACTACATATGCTGCTATTGCTGTATAAAATGTTTGGAAAAACCACAATGCTGTTTTAACACCTCTCTCTGGGCAGGTTATTAACACCTCCTAGACTCCAATTATGCAAATGCTATCAACACCTGGTTGTGACAGATTATGTGGATTGGAGCAACATTCCCCATGTTTATTCCCAGAGAATTTTTGTACAAGTTGTTCTGAATTGAGAAAGCTGGTCAGATGTCCAGTGAAACGTCTTCAAAAAAAATACAGCAAGTCCAGTTGCCTTGACTTATTTTTTACAAAAAATACTAGTATCGGTATCTGTGCATCCCTACATGTAACAAATATAAAGTAGATGTTATCCCAATTTGGCTACAACATTTCAAATACACAGGTGATCTTAGCTCATTTTGTAAGGCCAGCTTAAGTCACACATTTTGTTTCGGTATTAAATAGGGATATTTTTCCATCTAACTCCTCTTGGCATCATTCCATCTAGAATTTCACGATTTGTTCTTCCTTGTTTTTTTTTTTCTGTGTCTCATCAAGCCACCTGAACCTTTATCTTCCTGCCTTCTGACATGTCCATAATTGTTCATCCCATATACAGACGCAGCAATAGTAACAGCCGTTCTCCAGGGCCATGTTCTCCAAAAGACCCTCGATCCGTGTCCCGCTCGGAATCTCTGCGTTGTACAGTAGGATCAACTCAGCAGATCTTTCGGCCATGTGAATTGCTACATGGTGAAGAATTGGGGAAAGGATTTTTCGGAAGGGCCATTAAGGTAGGTGGTTTCCATACCTGTAGGCCAAGCGCACCCTAAAGAATCCTCAGTTTCCAAAGCTCCATCCTGTCTTCTTTTTTTATGGCAAACCAGCCATTACTAGTGCTCTCCTAGCTGTAGTGGAGCTAGCGTCCTCTTTCTCCTGATTAAGCCACTCCCCCCACATATGCACAGTTTGCATTATCTTCAGACACAGCCGCTTACAGGAGACAGCCTTCTCCAGATCCTCTGAGCCTTTGCAGTGTGCTCTGTCTCCAGTTGTGGTGGATGAGCTCAGCGGCTGTCAGGAGTGCCAATGGCTTGGCAGAATAGGGGTGGAACTCACTGGCAGGAAATGGCCTGAAGCGTCCGAAGGCAGAGGTACAAAAGGGGTAATCCAAAGAGAAGTCATGTCCAATCCAAGTCGAGGCAGGCAGCGAGGGTTCAGGGATGAAAGGCAGTCCAAGGTCGGCAACAGGGGGTCCAGATAAGGGGTCAGGAAGCAAGGCAAGGTACACAGATAGGGAGCTAGGAAATCACACCATAGGGTGGAGCTCTGGCCAGGTTTTTATAGCCAGAGGATGTAAGACCACCCCCTGGTCACCGAGGCAACCAGGAGGCTTCCCTCCCCAGGAGCAAATGGCAGACGAGAGAGGTGGAAGATGTGTGCTTGGAACCGCCCCCAGCAAGGCCCGCACCAGATAGCCTGAAAGGCGCAGGTGCGCTGCGTGCGCGTTTCCGGGAACTGCGCACGCAGCCTGAGTTCTGCCCACGGGTGCCAGCCCAGCGCAATTCGCGCATGGGCACCTGCTACTTGGGCACCAGGAGTTCTGCCAGGCTGAAGGGGAACCCGTGCCCTGCGCCGTGCCTGTCGACCTCGAGGAGTGGTAACACCCCCTGTTTCCTGACAGCGGCTGCGACAGGAGACTGATCAACTCTGCACATGTGCTGGGAGATTGGGACAAGGATGGTGCTCACTCCAGTACTGCTAGGAGGGTACTTGTCCTAATGGCTGGTCCAACCTAAAATGAAGAGAGGATAGAACTTTGGAAACTGCTAGAATTTTTTCGGGAAGGTTTTACTCCTTGCAGTTATGGCCTACAGGTATTCAGGGAATTTTTTTTATAAAAGTGAACTGACTCTTTAAAATACAGTATTCTTTTGAATGCCAAACGGAAAAATGTTTTGTGCTAACAGGTCACACATAGAGCCACTGGAAAAGTGATGGTAATGAAAGAGTTGATACAGTTTGATGAACAAACACAGAAAACTTTCTTGACAGAGGTAAATTAGTATTTTATAATAATATTGTATATTAGAATTTTCGTTCTTGGGTTTAGATAGCCTTTGCAGGGCAAGCATAGGTGGCTGTGAACAGTAAACATTGAAGCTTGCTTGCCACTTTGGCTACCATTTCTGCATCAAACTGACATGAACTAGTGGCCTAACTAGGATTTAGTATGTGCAAATACTTGGCTTCAGCTCTGGCACAAGTGGTCAGACATTGTTCTTGTTTTATTGATTTTGTGTCTGCCGCTAATGCAAGTGCGTACATTGACAGTTATACTCCCCTTAGGGTGCAATTAACCCTATTTATACTTCCACTCCGCACCATTTGTCCTGTCGCAGAGGGAACTGAATGTAACATAATAATGATTATCAGGCAAGCAAACTGAGCTCAGATATATGGTGGCATTTCTTTGAGTTAGAGATGTCCCGATGCCACTTTTTCAAGACCAAGTACTTCCACTCATGTACTTGCCGATACCAATTACCGATACTTTTCTTAACGGGACAGGTGAAACATTTTTTAAAACAATACAGACTAATGATTTTAGGCCAATTTCTTTATGATTATGAAGAACTTTAATTTTTAGACTGTTTTAGAACAATAAAACATTTTTATTTGCTTTCACACAGCTGTCGTGAAACTACAAATCCGATCATGCATCTGCCTCTGAGATCATTTAACCTATTCATGTTAGCAGGGGAGATTTGTAACTCTATTACTGCAGTGTGCACTATGGGTCATTTAACCTGGTACACACTTCCAGTACACTGCAGTAATAGAGTTACAATTCTCCCCTCCATAGTACATAATAGTACATAACATGTAGTTGTACTATGGATCATTTAACCCATTCATGTTAGCAGGGGAGAACTGTAAACCTATTGCTGCAGTGTACTCTATATGTAGTACATATATACAGTACACATTCCCAATGCACTGCAGCAATAGATTTACAATTTATCCTCAGCTAATATTAATAGGTTAGCCAGCGCTGTGCGGGAGAGCAGCGGCGAGTCAGCGCTGGTCCGGTGGGAGGAGCTCCAGGTGGGGTCCTAATTTAGCTGGCCGGCGACTGCCCAGAGGTGCCGCACGTGTCGGGATCCTCTGGCAGTCGCTTAGTACCATTATCGGGACATCCCTACTTTGAGCAATATCTAATTGCTCTCAAGCTTTTTCTCCCTACAATCATTTTAGCTAGGAAATTTGTTCTTTTCACAACCCTCCAGCCATTCATTTTCTTCTCCTTTTTTGTTCTCTTTTATTAACTCCTTTATGACTGAGGCCTTTTTTTCATTTTTTGCACCCATGTTATATTCCACATTTTAGGCCTGAAAATTACTTAAAACCCCCACACATTATATATTTTCTGAATGCCACGACCCTATACAATATAATGTTGGTAGTTGCAAATTTTTATGTTGCGCAATATTAGCGCAACTCCTTATTAAACCCCATAGGGACCGGAAGTGATGCAATCTGCATCGCTCCCGGTCGCATAGAACGGGGAGGGGATCGATGAACGGAAGTTCGTCGACCTCCTCCCCAGCTCCCCGCGGACACCAAGGACGCCGGGCCCGTAGGAGGAGCAACGGAGCCTGGGAAGCACGGCGGCGGTTCCCGGCGGGGGGGGCCCCTTCTTTGGGACACAGGAGCGATCTGGCGACAGGTAAGTCGCCAGAATCGCTTCTGTTGTAAAGCCGACAGTCGGCTCTACAAGTTTAAACAGACTCCCGGCGGCAAAAGTCGCCGGGAGTCTGTTTAAACAGCCTTGATGCTGGCGACGTACACTGTACGTCGTCAGTCACGAAGGGGTTAAAGCAGAACTCTGGGCAAACATGTTCTTAACCTATGTAGTGGGGCTACTCCTCCACTGCAAGGGTTTAGTGCTCGATATTGTCTAGGTGCTGAAGTTATAGTCACCCGAACCTCACATCCAGTGGGCTGCTACTCCAGTCCCTGAAGCCTGTGTCCTCCTCTACAGTAATGGTATGTTCCTCTGCATCCTCACATCCTATACACTTTGTATAGCATGATGACTTGGGGATCTTAGACAGCTGCAGTGGAGGCTCCAGGGACCGGTCTAAGAGCAAGCCTGTTTTGGAGGATCAGGAGAGTATAAATTATTACATATAGAGAGAGAGAGAGAGAGAGAGAACTCTAAATCATATATTTATTTATTTTTTTTAAATCACCCAGACACAAATGAGCAGTTCTCTTTTGCAGTGTGAGATACTAGCAAGACCATTGGGCTTTTAAAGGCACTGAAGTCACTAATTACAAAACTTGTAACGTATCATATGAATGATTATACTAAGCAGACCCAGACGCTTAATACTTACATACAGCAAGTACAGTGGCATGCAGAACAAAGCATGTAAGCAGGTGAGGATTTGCAATAAAGTTTGGTAAACTTCCTGCAAAATGTAGAGTTGACCCAGTGGTCCTTTTTTTTTTTTTTTTTCTTCCTTTTAAAAGAATTTGTTTAATTTTAAATACAAAAGTACACATTTCAAAATTGGCCAGTTTTGCTGCAGGCGTGAAATGTTCTACACATTCCATGCAAAGTCATTGAGTTTGTCTTGTGTTTGTTTTGTTGAAAGGTAAAGGTCATGCGTTCTCTGGATCATCCCAATGTGCTGCGATTTATTGGCGTTCTGTATAAGGATCGAAGGTTAAACCTGCTGACCGAATACATAGAATGTGGAACCCTGAAGGATTTCCTTAGAGGGGTGAGACATGGAGAGCTCATAAGAATGTATCATTTGGGGATGGGGGGGGCATAATCTGTAGTAAATGGAGTGAAAAATAAAAAAATATATTCATGGTAGAAAAGTTGACAGCAAGTTCTTGTTTTTGCCTCTCCTTGTGTAGGAAACTTGCCCTTGGCAGCAGAAGGTGTCATTTTCTAAGGACATTTCATGTGGAATGGTAAGTAGTAAAGGGAATATATACAGTATGCAGTAGTAAAAGTGTGCCTGTCTGCACATGTGACAAATGAGTTGCAGTTCTACAAGAAGAGGCAAGACACCAGTGGGGGACAGGCAGGAAAATGTTACCCTTTTCTCTTTATAGAAGAAGACAAAGTATGTATACATGGTCAAGGGGAAGAAAAAGAAAGCACGGAGAGTCTTCAGTGTGTAAAAAGTTACTTTTAAAGCTGCCCGAATATATTTTGTTTTCCTTAAAGAACTCTGGGCTAACAAACTTACCCTTACAGTGGGGCTACCCCTGCACTGCAAAGCTGAAGTGCTTGCTTTTACCCAGAGTTCTTCTTTAACTGCCTAACTAATATGGAGGTTGCTGCATACATGTTAGGGTATTTAAAGAATGCTTCATATTCTCGTTGCTTTCCTCTCTTGACGGGGTGTCACAGTTGTTGTAGCTTACCTTCGCCACCATGTGTATGACTACTTTATGTCAGTAAAGCGATGGTACTGCTGCTGAAGGATGTCCTACCTTATTTTCAATCACCTATAGTGTTAGGTAATGTGGAAGGAGGCATTGCAGTATTGGCACTATGACCAATCCCTTAGATGTATTACAACAGGGGTGCCCACAAGGTCGATCGCGATCTACCAGTCGATCGCATAGCGATCACTGGTAGATTGCCATGTCCTCCCCTCCCGCCGCTTCTCTGGATCCCCGCTGCTCTCCCCAGTGGGGTTCCGAGAAGAAGTGAAGGAACCGGCGGCGGGGGAGGGCGGAGGACGGAGCCACTGTCACAGAACTAATACAGAGCGGTGAGGAGAGAGAGAGACGCTCGGCCAGGATCTGACAGCCGGCGCCTCTCTCTCCCCTCACTGCTCGTCCTTGGTTCTGTCACAGCGGCTCCGCCCCCCCTCCCCCCCGCAGCTGAAGTGCTCTTTCACTTCTCGTCGGATCCCCCGCTGCCTCTGCCCGGGAGAGCAGGGGAGATCCAGAGAAGTTGCAGCCCCCCTGTGCGTGGACGAGCGGAGGGGGTGTGGTGCTGTATTGAAGTCAATGGCATCGCCACACTGTGCGATCGCCCGCACTCGGAACGCAGGCATGTTAGTGCCTTCATTCCGGTCCAGTGCGATCTGCAAAAATAGTGCTCGCAGAATTTTTGCGGATCGCACTGGACTGGAACACAGGCACTAATGCAGGCGATCGCACTGTGGGCAAGGGGCCTGCCTGCGGTGCCATTGACCTCAATGCACCGCCACGCCCCCTCTCGCCTCTGAATGCGGGTGTTTTTTCATTGGTAGATCTCAATGAGCTCGTCATTTGAAAAGTAGATCTCCAGACGAAAAATAGTGGGCGCCCCTGTATTACAACTTCATTCACCATTGTGATCCCTGTCAATGAATGGGCACAAGTATTGCCTTGTCTCAGAAATAGAGGTTGATGTAGCAGCATCACCTCCAAAGTGGTGGTTCTGTTTTTAAATTGTGTATTTATTAAATGTGGTGCTCCAAAGTCTAATTAAAACTGAAGAGAAGGGGAAAAAAAAGTTTCCATGCGAACAATAACAAAAAAAAAATATATAAAGAAAGAAGCTCACGGGAGGAAGGGGTTACTAAGAAATAGAAAATGAGAAGATAACCCCCGTAAGGATGTACTCCTTGGGAATCAGTCAAACAAACTTTGTAAAAATGTATAACAGTTACTAAAGACCAATACAAACGCATAAGTTAAAATGTTATGCATTTGTCTATACCTTATTGGACACAAATCAGTTACTAGAGGGTCTGGCCAGACCACATAGTGACGTCACACTAGCTTTTTAAAAAAAAATATTTTTTTAGGTGTGACGTCACTATTAGTGCTATGAGATTACTATTTCTATAGCTTGAATATCAAGTTGCATTTGGTGTATCTTTCATTCATGTATGATCTTTTCCATATGTGGTATGGCCAAGGTAAAGCTAGGAGGAGTGGGGCAGTTTTAGTGAGTTTGTTGTAAAGTACTCTTCCCCTTTTATGTTGGGCATAATAAGGGGTTAAATAGGTGTACCTTGTATTTAACAAAATGCTTTTTGCCTGACCTCATTGGCTGCCTTCATACAGGAGCTCTGATGCACAGAGCAGGACCTGGTTGTCAAATTGACAGAGCCAGTGTAATCTGGGGGGTTTGGCTGTTAGTTTGACAATGGGGTACTGCTCTGTGTATTAGGAGAGGTTGTTTCCACTGGGCCTCTGAAGCCATGAAGAAATTGCTGTGTGTTTTGACAGTTGATCCCTCTAGGTGTGTATCAAGAGTCTAACATAGGTGACAGCCAAGTCCCACAGACAACACCAGTATAATGGCTCTCCTGGTTGAGAGACGGGGGGGCAGATGACATCACAATCTCCACCTCCTCCAATCAAAGAACTGAGGGGGGAATTTATCAAAACTGGAGCAGATAAAATGTGGAGCAGATTTGCACTGCAACCAATAGTTTTTCTAAACGTGTGTGTGTGTGTGTGTGTGTGTATATATATAAAGTGTCCTTTTATTTTTTTAACCAAGTTGTTGCCTTTTTTCTTTTCAGGCTTATCTTCATTCCATGAGCATAATACACAGAGATCTCAACTCACACAACTGTCTCATCAAAATGGTAATGCTTTGCTGCCATTATACTTATTCCCTGCCCCTGCCTGATCCCTTTTCTCCTCCTTCCACAACACTCTTGTACTGTAGACCTTGGATTTCCTCTACTTTACTATGGCCATGCATGACTTTCTCTTTGATTAAACCAGCTTTTCTCAGCAAGCTGTCTTCCTCTCTAGGATGGAACAGTAGTGGTTGCTGACTTTGGACTTTCCAGACTTGTTGTAGAAGAAAAACTCAAACCCCCACCAGAGCGTCCTCCCACAAAGAAGAGAACTCTTCGTAAAACAAACCGCAAGAAGCGTTATACGGTGGTGGGCAACCCATACTGGATGGCACCAGAAATGTTAAATGGTAATCCATTGTGCTACATTTTCATTTTATATTCTGTTCTTCCTCTCCAGGTAAAATTTATGATGAGAAAGTGGATGTATTTTCATTTGGAATTGTGCTGTGTGAGGTAAGTAGACCTCTAACAGAGCTGGTAGAGCTATCCAGGTCATCACATATCTGTAAACTATGTTGTGTTAATCAATACAGCCTATAGGACCTGCCCCAATCATGGGGAAACAGGACGCTGATGAGATCCTCTTTCTATTCAAGCCTACTGTCAAGAAGTCCTGTGTTAGATGGGCAGCACTGTGCAATGAAGTAGAGCTTTACTGGCAAGGCTGGATTTCCCACTCCTAATTGGTGATAGATGGATGATTACAGTTGGCTAATAACAAGTCAATCGGGCTGTATGTAAAATAATGTATAATAAAAATTCAGAACTTGGTAGACTTTTTTTTTTGCCTGCTGAAGGCTAGTTCACACCAGCCACAGTGCGATCATGCGCACATTGCGGTCGGCTCCCTTTGTTGTGGGGCAGGAGGGGGCGTGGCGGTGCATTGAAGTGAATGGCACCGCATCCACACCCTCCGGCCGCAATGCGATCGACCGCACGGGAACGCGTGGGACATCAATGCCTGCGTTCTGGTCAGAAAAAATAGTGCTTCCATCATCTTTTCTGACCAGACCGCAGGCATTGATGTGCCCTGCGTTCCCGTGCGGCCAGAGGGCGTGGCTTTGGTGCCATTGAGTTCAGTGCACCGCCACGCCCCCTCCTGTCCCACAACAAAGTGAGCCGGCTGCAATGCGATCCAGTGCGTTCCAGCCAGAATAGGACCCGGAACGCACTGTGGCTGGTGTGAACTAGCCCTAAGGAAAACAAAATCTCCATTAGTTGTTCAAGATTTTTTTGAACAAGTCTCCCTTTCGCATTGGAAATTCACAGTTTGTTTGTGGTTTCCCCATCTGTGTATTCTTATTAAAGAGATTTAGTTAGCACCTATACAGTGAATAAGGACTTTAAACTTCATCTTTAATTGATTTGTGACTTGCACTATAGCATAATCTAAATCACTTGGAAGCCTACCTGTTACCTTTTTGCATACATATACTCTCTCTTGTTTCTCAACACCATTCCTCAACTACGCCCAACAGATAACTCTTTTTGGATTCCCCTTAGATTAAATACTGATTTATTCAGAAGTGAAAGATAAAAGAAAACATGACGTGTAGTGGTATTGGAGGACTGGAGTTAAGAAACACTTTCTAGTTTCGGGATTCTTTAAACCCTGTTGTAATTGTAAGTTATTAATATTGAACAAGCTTAAGGTGCATAAAAACAGGGTTTTACGCGTACTACCTCTGTTTATTTAGGCGAGCTTCAGTGCCAGCCCATAATTCAGCTTCCCAGCAGTGGGCTGCATTTCTCTGCAGGGGTCTGATGTGCCCCCTACCTGTCACAACTACTGACTCTTGAGGATTGGAGAGCTGTATCTTCTTTATTCGTTAGTGTTGCTGCTTGGAGAGCTGTAGTATCTTTATTCATGAGTGTTGCTGATTGGAGAGCTGTAGTATCTTTATTTGTGACTGTTGTGGATTGGAGAGGTGTAGTATCTTTATTCATGAGTGTTGCTGATTGGAGAGCTGTAGTATCTTTTATTTGTGAGTTTTACTGATTGGAGAGCTGTAGTATCTTTATTCGTGAGTGTTGCTGATTAGAGAGCTGTAGTTGGGAAATGACAGACCCTTGGAGATAGACCTCTGCGCTCACACAAATCGTAGCGGTATTTATTTTTAGCATGCTGTAGGGGAGCTGAACTTTGGGCTAGTGCTGGGTATCACTTGTATAACAAACGGAACTTAAAATCTGATGTTTTTATGCACCCTTAGGCTGACCATACAATGTAAGAATTTTGGCTGATTTAAGATTAAATTTTAACAGTGAGTGGCCCTGCCAGCTTGACAAGTCGATTTTGAGTAGCTGACTTTTGTCGAGACCAGAGCCAGACCAAAACTTTTGCAGGCAAACAATGTAGCTGCAGTGCAGTCATGGTTAATGTATTCTGACAGCAGCAAGCGCCCACTGTGTATAGAACTTGATGACTTAAAAGAGAACTATGGGGTAAGTGTTTATTTTTCCCAATAGTTCTCTTTAGGGTCATGGGAGGACATATGCTAACCCCCTCCCATGACCCAAAGCTCAGTATATAGCTTGCAGTATACTGAGAGCACCGTAGCTGGGACGGATCCTGACCATACTGTCGAGATCCACCCAGCTGCTTGAGTGACAGCTGGCTCTGCCTATCTTGCCCTCCCCGCTCTGATCCTCCAGTGCTGAGTGGAGGAACAAACGGGGGAGGGGGGAATCCCTGTGGAGAGCGGTGACTGACAGTCAGCGCTCACTGCAGGGAGACGATTGGGAAGTGAGCGGATCAGCTGTATGTTTCTGCTCACTTCCCAATCAATAGAGCCGACCTGTGACAGCTTCTTTGTCTTGGGTCGGCTCTAACTATGAGGATGAGTGGAAATCACTCACCTCATAGTTCTCCTTTTTAAAGAGGGGGACAGATGCTCCAGGGATCTGTTTAAGAACCAGCTGGCTCTGAGGATCAGGTAAGTATATAACTTTATTTTTCATATTTATTTTAGCACCTAGAAAAAAACGAGCAGTTGACCCTTGCAGTGTGGGGGTAGCACCACTGTAAGGGTTAAGAACCATTTTTCCTGGAGTGCTTTAATGATCTAAAAATCTCTCTTGTTTAGCTCTAGCCTATTTAGGTGACTGCCAGCAAGTCCTTAAACCTTCTCTTCGTAGCAAGAAATAAGTTTGTCTGACTTGTTTAACTTGAACTACAATTGGTCTATAAGCTCATGATGAGGTCTGGACATTCTCCAGATTCACTCAGATTCCTACTTGTGTTCTTGGGCTGGGTGTTTGCTATCTTGAAGCCACATTTCTACTTCTGGCTGTAGGCTGTTAGAACAGTACAAGATAACTGTATATTAGTTTCAGCGTTTCAGCCACTATCACTGCACACTGCATAGATTCTGTGACTTTCATTATTTCCTGTGTTGTTTGCAGATTATTGGACAGGTGTATGCTGATCCCGATTGCCTGCCACGTACCTTTGATTATGGACTCAATGTTCGTCTTTTCTGGGAAAAGTTTGTTACAGAGGACTGTCCTTCAGGATTTTTCCCCCTGGCGACATCCTGCTGCCAGCTGGAGCCTGACCAGAGGTCAGTTCACATGTTTTGGCCGCTCATGCTATTTCCTGTTTTCCCTCGTTAAAGGCCACTGTTACATAGTTGCCTTTGCTGTAGTTAAAAAAAAAAGAGAACTTCCCCTTAAACAAAGTAATGGGGCTAGTTTATAATGGTAACAAAGGAAGATATTGAGGCCTCATTCAGAGAACAGGCCCGTACAGATCCCTGCACAGCTGTATCGGGCCCTGCACGGGAAGGACAGGTGCTCCGTGTGATTTGTACTCCTCTATGGGAGTACGCCGCCGTACAATCACTCGAGCTGCACATCCATGCGGGTGTCCGTGCTCGGACACAAACAGGATCCATCCTTTCTGCGTAGGAGTACGGACACCTGAACCCGCACGGATGTTCAGCACGGGTGAGCATACGGCCACATACTCCCATGGAGACAAACAGGCTGCTGCATACAATCACACGCAGCACCTGTCCTTCCTGGGAACGGCCCGCTACAGCAGTGCACGGATCTGTACGGGCCGGCTCTTAGCAGTGTGAATGAGGTATAAAGGTGCAGCTCCTACCAGCAAATTACATTTCAGCTCTGTTTCCTATTTTAAAATAAAACCCCCAGCAAAAACATTTTTAGCTTTTGAATGAGTGGGAAAAGATTAGAACAGGGGTACGCAACCTTGTCACTTCAGTTGTTGTGGCACAAGTACCATAAGACATTGGCAAGACTCTTGACCGCCGCAGGCATGACTTCCAGAGGCATGATGGGATTTGTAGGCTTACCACAGCTGAAGTGGCAGGGTTGCCTACCCCTGGATTAGAACCTCTATCGTGTTTTTGCATCACCTAATTTCTGTGGAAATATCCAACATGGATGAGCAGTAAAAAGCTCCATGAAGTTCTACCCGTTCCTCATTCTGCTAGCAAAAAAAATCATTAAGATTTACTTTTTACTATCTGTCACTGAAACAAGAAGTGAGAGGAAATCTCCCAAATGAGCAGTAATGGTAAAAAAAAAGCACAGATTCTCTAACCTTTCCTCACTCTAGCAAAAACTTAAATGAGATTATAGGCTGGAGTTCTGAACTTTCAGATCAGTACTGAGCTGGTGCTCTTCCTCCTATACCAGCTGAAAAGATCTCCCTAGTTTGAGTAGTATACTTATCCTGTTCTGATAGGTTGTTTTTTTCCCGATTTGAGCCTTTAGTATAACACCAGGGGTCACAGGCAGGAAGGGCCAGCTTGTCAACTACAAGTGATTTGGGAGGCTGTACAGCCACCAGATCGTTTTATAGTGGTCTGAAGTCGCACACACCACCCATTTCTCTAGGGGGCCTGAGACCATGGCAGAGGATGTCAGGATGTAGACCAGGAGCAGACCAGGGAATGTCTTATCTCTGCTCAGTGATCAGTGAAGCAGGAAGCGCTGTGCTCTTAGCACTTCCTGCTTCAGAACTATCAAAAGCTGGCAGACGTCCCGGATGAACAGATGATGAAGCAGAATCCTGGCTCGATCGTCTCTATTAGGGGGCAGGAGAGACATCAAGGGTCAGAACAGGGGTCAGGGGTGCATCGGCATATCAAAACTGTGCCTGGGAACACACACCAGCAGCTATGCGTTGTAGTGCAGCTTCTGATGTGAATGTAGCCTAAATAGCACACCGCGGTATGGACATGGAGTGAGCGACCGTTCTGTCCGGACCGCAATTCTGACCTCTACTCAATGCAAATTTTACTCATCAGACTTCCTTGAATGTTGAATTCACTACCACTGGTATAACAAGTTCTGGTGGGCCAAAATAGCACTGTGAAAACCTTCATCAACAATGTTAAAGGCCATTTCATTTTATAACCCAAGCAACCCAAAGGTATAAATAGGCAGGCAAAGTCAACCTTTTAAAAAAAAAAAAAAAAACACAGTGATGTGACATTGACACTGACTGTGATGTCACTTCACCTGTACTATATTGAAAACTAAACGTCCCTCTGCCATAGGGACAGACAGGGCTACTGGGGGGAATTTATCAAAACCTGGAGCAGTTGCCCATGGCAACCAATCAGCATCTCTCTTCAGTTTGCTCAAGATTTGAAAATGAGACAGAGAAGCTGATAGGTTGCAGTGCAAATCTACTCCAGATTTTGTCTGCTCCAGTTTTGATAATTTCCCCCCGTAGTTTCTTCCTTCACAGATCCTGTCAAAGTGGGTAGGGGGCTGGTAATGTGACCATTCTCCATGTTACACCCTGAATATGGGTGCAACATAAAACATGTTATTAAAGGTAAACTTAGCTTTAAAATATCCTTAGTCCAATGACATCACAGGAAGAGTCTTCTTTGCCTGGCCTTGGTGGTAGGAAAGTTCTGAAAGCTGTAGAGAAGACCAGCACAGAATAGTGTGTGGCTATTCCCCACAACATTCTCCGGTGAGCCCAGGGTGGCTTGATGACACATTCCCAGGAGGATAGGTTTGTGATCTCATGAGCGTCATTTAAACTAGAAGAAGACCGGCGCTGGCCTTCAGAGTGGCAAGTGCGGAGGGGTGCAGTGCTGAAGATTGAGTATTATCGCGAAACGTGTTTTAAAAAAAAAATTATTATTATTATTAAATTAGGCTACAAACTGCAATTTGGCTTTAAACATTGTTGGTGAAATTAACTTTGATAACCCCTACTTGATTTCATACATACTGGAATTGTATGCAGCAGCATGAAATTGATGATGGTCGCAGGAGCAATACCAGTTAGCTGAGAGCCATGTATGGACAGCTAGTTGGAGTTAACTGCTCTAGTGATAGGGTGATGTTTTATGTATTGTTACCCCTAACATCTATTTCTTCTTTCTATCCTAGGCCAGACTTCGTTTATTTACATGATACCCTTACAGCCCTGTCTCTGTTTCTGGGGGAACTGGCAATCCCATTACCTTCTGAACTAGAAATGATGGAGACTGAGCTGAGGTTGCAGCATGGTCTGAAACGAGAGGACTCTCCACAAGGTGATGCAGATCACATTCATGAGCAGAGATAAGGAGGACATGTGAAGCACCCTCCAGTTCATCTCTACTAAAGGAAACTGTTACATTCGCTGAGTGGCGGTGGAAGACTTCACTGTCCTAGAGTGGACCATCTCAGAATAGGTTATGAGTTTGTGTAGAAGCTAGGAACTTGTCTTTAAGGAAAAAAAAAAAAAACAACCTCTTTGAACCACAACAGAGCACACATTTCTCCAATCATAGTAGACCCTATTAGATAAAGGATATCTCAGGGGGGTTTGTGCTACAAATATGTATATTTTAGAACCACAGCAGGTCTTAGAAGCATTTATAAGGTCTCCAGCCCTACTCTTAGCTTCCCAAGCTCTGGGCACCTTTTCAGTGACATACATAGATCAAAACTTGAATCTCTCTTCCACATAGAAGAGTACCAAGAGGTGGAAACCTGTCACATATGTCTTCCAGTAAAAGAGAGCAATCCAGTTCTCGGGAAATAATGTGATTTAGTAACCACTCTTCTCATAGCACGTGTACTCCGCTGTGGAGAGACTGCTGTATTTTTACATGAAAACTGGAATTTCAGATCTCTGATTTTATTTTGTTAGCATTTGGACTGCACTTTTCTCCATTGTGTATATACTGTGTGTATGGTGGTGTTTTTTTCCATGACACCATGGGAATTTTGCCTGAATCATTCCTTATAGTTATTTTTTTACTACAGTCCATTTAGGTGTTTTTGCCAGCTGGACATGAAGTGCATTGATATTTTTTGTCATGAGATATTCGTAGGGAGGGTATACTTGTGACATACAGTACAGGCTTATATGGGATTTACAAATTGTTTTCTCTAATGGGAAATCTTTGTTTCAGACTTGGCAAATGTATTTCAAAATGCAGAATGTTATTGTCTGTCAGGGTCACTCACCAATAACGTGTAGCCCTCTCTGTGGCCATAATCTGCCTTGTCTTGACTAGGCTTTCTTAGCAAATGTTTTTACACATGTAGTGCACACATAGTAGGCACCTTTAGTCCTTAGATGTTGTGACTGCATTAGTTTTCTTTGTTAGGCTAAAACTATTTTTCAGCAAGTACAGGGAATACTGCCAGAAAGGCAGTGCCCTTGTTACCCAGTGTAAGCTAAACAGAAAGCACAATGGTCCTTGTGTATCTTTTCTAAATTACTTATTCATCAATCCACCATATTATGAAGATGACAAAAAGTTAGACATATTTGAAGTCCAGCTTCTGTGACAACAATGGCTGCCAGCATAGATAGTGAAAAAAGAACGTAGCTGCCAAGTCATAGAAAACTAGTTATTCGCAAGATTACTAGATGGGGAAAAAAAGCCTCAAAAAAAGAAATTAACGCAGTCATCACATCTAAGGACTGGTAAGCTGCAATCTCTGAAATTTTGGGGATTACATACACTTTTTAATCTTTCATTTAAAGGGAATTTCCATTTTTAACCTAAACCCCTATCAGAGCCTCCATGAGCAGAGTCTGCCTTTCTCTCGGACCTTAGTTAATCGCACACTTGTCCTGCGTTTCACTCTGCATGGTCAAAAATAAGCCAATCTCTTTCTAAAACATTACAGTAATAGAATGTCATTGTTTTTGGAATGCAGATGTCAGATTCACCAGCAGGGGGCACTCTAGGTCAGCGATGGCATTCGAATGTCGGTGTAGTTATAGGAGAGTCTAGAAGGGCAGAGCTATCAGGAGGAAGTAGAAAGTTTCCATTAGAGTGGAACTATAGCAACATGTTTTGGATGGGTTAGGATCTAAGTCAGCTTTTACTACTGTCTGTGACTCTGTTGGGGTGACTCCTCCTTCCTGGTCACAGGGGGGTGAGAAGACCTTTCCCAGCAGAAACCACAAGAGAACCACTTTTGGTAAAAAGACACTGTCACTAAATGTAATGTTGCTCCATTCATCCATGCTATCAGTTAAAGGAGAATTTTGAGGTGAGTGATTTTCACTCATCCTCATAGTTTTAGCCAACCTGTGACAATGAAACTGTCACAGGTCGGCTCAGTAGATCAGGAAGTGAGTGAACACATACCGGCGTTCGCTCACTTCTCGATCCTGTCACTGCAGAGAGCCGTGACAGGGGAGTGACTGGATTCTCCCCTCCCCACTCCTCCAGCGCTGACTGGCGGAACGGACGGGGGAGGGTACAGCTGGCTCTGCCTCTAGATAGGCAGAGCCAGCTGTCACTCACGCAGCTGGGCGGATCCAGACATTATTGTCGGGATCCGCTTCAGCTGTGGCGTCTCAGTATACCGCAAGCTGTAGCTCGCGGTATACTGAGCTTAGGGTGACGGGAGGACGCTAGTTTGTGTCCTCCCGTTACCCTTAAGAGAACTATGGGGAAAATCCCTAACCCCATAGTTCTCCTTCAAGTTAATCAACAACTCGGGTGTGCATGTTTTGTACTTTTTTTTTTTTTAAATGCTATTTCTAGAAATCACAGCCACGACTCCCAGAGACAGATACATCATAGGATTTGCAGTTTCACCACAACTGGAGGGCAAGAGGTTCCCCACCCCTGGTCTAACAGGTATCTAAAACTTCCAAGAGTGTCAGCTTCTCGGTTCTGAAGGTGCCTCTCTCCTGCTCCCTCCCTTTGCTGAGCCACTGCTTTGTTCCCTTTGATTAGTCACACGTTGCGCAGCCACTTGAGACTATAACAAAGGGAAACAAAGCAGCAGCTCTTGCACTCAAGACTACAGTATGATAAAGCAAATCAGTTAAAATGAATGGTGTGGCTCAATGATTTGCCCTCATTGTAATATTTTATCGGTGCTGTTCAGGTAACACAAAGCAGTTGGCTACATCTATTCTCCCAAAGATACATATGCTGGTTGTGGTCTCCTCATACTTCCATGTTAGCCCCAGCCATAGACGTTGAATTCTTGCCTGTGACACTTCTGGGTTAGGTGTTTGGGTCCCTTTCAGTTATGGCAATGGTTAGAATCTGCAAATACTTTCTCCTGTGATCTTACTTAAGGTCAGGATTATATGATCACTGGAGTTGATCATCTGGGACTTAACGTCAGGTGTTCTATATATGAAGAATTCACACAAATCTCTGAACGTAAGTTCTGTGTGTATGGAGGCAAAAATGAACATGAGTTTATTTTCTTTTAGGGTCTTGGCATTCAGAAAATATATAATGTTGGGGGGTTTTACGTCATTTTCAGGCCTAAAATGTGGAATATAACATGGGTGCAAAAATGGAAAAAAGGGCCTCAGTCATGAAGGGGTTAATGTACAATCAGAAAATACCGCATTATGGGCCCTAGATGGAGCTGAGAAGCATAGGAAATAAGTATTGTTTTCTTATGCTCCTCAGCTCCATCTAGTGGCTATTATACAGTATTTTCCAATTGTTACATTTGACATGAAAAGAACTGATAGCACCATTAATTTTAGCCTCCATTCGCACAGAACAAACATTCTCAGGGCAAATGGCTCTGCAAATTGTTTAGAAATAGACCCCTATCAGTCTAGCACTCAGTGCTAGTAGTAATTATGAGCTGTTGTCTAGGTCAACTAATGAATGCTTTTTCGTGTTTAAGCACAATCAAAATAATGAAATGTCTGGTTGCCACAGGTCACTGCAATTTTGCTTGCTTGTCATTTGTTTTTAACATTGCCGATTATTCGCTGCTCACTCCACTGGATTGACACAAAACCAGTTTGATCATCAGGCACTGCCTGATTACTCTTTATTTATAGAAATGCAACATTCATGTACAAAAAAAGAAAGGCCAATAAACAATTTTCTTACAATTTGTACATCCGTCTCTGTCCATTTATAAACTTTAGCAGCACACTTAAGAGGAAGAACCCTGGTCTCAGAAAAGATAGTGATACATGTTATGGGAATATAGTACTGCGTCCCTGTACACATACACAAGAATAAGGATGTCGTACAGCACAACCTCTATTACAGCCTGTAGATGATCACCATTGGCTTCTACAAGGCTTTGTCTTTAGGAATACAGAAGCTGCTACTGGCAGCCAACTTCCAACACTCGGATCATCTGGAACCCCCACATCAGGATAAAGGAGGTAAAGGGCAATTACAGTAATCATGTCTTGGCCTTGGAAGTAAAAACACTGGCCAGCTCAGTCTGCACCCGATCTGAAGCGTCACTGGATATGTAGAAATTCATGCCCCTTACTATCCAAATGAGATAATGTGGCTAATGAATACAACTCTCCTTCCACAGTCCGCTAGGCATGTGCCACAGCATAATAAAATGGGATAATGCTTCCAACATTTCCACAACAAGGGGTACTGTTTGTTCACATGGGGCTGCACCTCCCCTCATGCTCCTGGGGTACCAGCACTGCTTATTAGGGGTACGACACCCTCCTGTACTGCGTTGGGGGTGTGATTGGAGGATACCTCGATCGTGTTCTCGTCTACAATGTCACATGTTGGATTTAAGAAAGCAGAGAGGGGTAAATTGATCCGCTGTTGTCGCCTTTCTTCTATTTGCTCCTCATGCTGCTTCTTTATATCTCTGCCCCTACAGGAAACAAAATATAATAGAGGAATTATACCTTCTGTACTTCAGAATGGAATCACAAGATCACGCCAACACCCATTTCAAGCACACGACTGACCTCTTGTAGATGTATCCAACCACAATGCCACTGCCAATGGCTATAATAATCACCACCATTAGGATGCCAAGAACATAACCTGTGAAATGAAAGTATAACAATTATAATGGGAAGCAAACCTATAGGGTGAATATTCACAGTGAAATGGTTTGCGAGTGCTCTAGCTAAGGATCTGGCTTGTTCCTTCTCCCCTATTCTCTATAACAAACAAACACTTGAATTTAAAATTGGATATATTCTAGACCAGGGGTAGGCAACCTCGGCTGTGGTGAAACTACAAATTGCATCATTCATCTGCCTCTGGGAGTCACGCTTGTGGCTGTCAGTCTTACAATACCTAGATGGGACTTGTAGTTCCACAACAGTTGGAGGGCCAAGGTGTCCTAGACCCAGGTAACTTGGTCATGTACATATTTATTGTCCACAGATCGTTGCTGATGACAGCCCATTTGGGAAAAACAGGGGGTACTAAAGCAGAACAGCTGCTACTAGAGACTTGGGAGTGTTCAATATTCTTCCATTTGCAGACTCCAGTCGCTCCCGTGGAGGTTTGTGAGCAAATCTGAGCTGGGGAGGCTCTTGCCGAGTACTATGGAAAGCATACACTTAGGCCTTGTTTCACAGGTGTCAAATACAGGTGGTTGATCTGCGTTTTACAGCTCACTTGTGGCTCCGTGGCTTGTACACATGCCACGGCCGCAATGCTGTGCATCGTGGCAAATTTTAAACGGCATGTTACAATTGTCAGGCAGTGCTGCTTGCCAAACGCGGCCGTTGCAATCAAGGGGCACATTATTGCAATACAAAATTGGAGTATAATAAAAAAATGGCATTCTGGAGGTGGCAATATTGACTCCTGGAAGCCACCGCTCTACCACCCACTAAAAAGCGATCCCACTCAGATCACATTTCATAGGGGTGGTGGAGCCTGTCGCCTGTGTGAACTAGGCCTAAGAAAAGGACTCCAGATGGTGACACATATGATTGATCCCTTTAATGAAGGAAGATGTGGAATGTCTGCTAACCTTTGCAAGGATTAATATTTTTACTTTTGGGAGCGGCAAATGTAATGTGAGGACCTAACTAATCTATCCAATCCGGCAGACACTTCCACTTTATCAGGATTAAGAAACCTCGGCAATCTGGCTGTGCTGAAACAAATTTCATCATGCCGCTGCCTCAGAGTCATGCCTGTGGCTGCCAGAGAGGGTTCTTCACAAAAGGGTGAAGAGTTTGGAGAAGTGAACAATCTAGGACGACATAGCTGATTTAGAAACATTCTCCAGTTCAGCTCACTCTCCAGTTCAGCTATGTTGTCCTAGATTGTTCACTTCTCCAAACTCTTCACCCTTCTGTGAATAACCCTGAGAGTTTTGCAATGGCTCATGGGACTTGGTACTCCAGCTGGAACTACAAGGTTGCCTACCCCTGCACATAGTTGTTGGTAGATCTAATGGAGATTGTACAATCGGAATGTAACGTTTGTGGTGAGCTTTAAATGAGTCCTAGCTCAGCAGATGTTGGATCAAGCTAATGGGAGGGACGAGCATGACTTGTTTTTTTATTGTATATAGTTAATGTTCGACAGAAGGCCTATTTATTGGCTGGTTAATAGATCTTTATATACACTATGCTGTTAGTGTTTTATAGAACTTATTATTACTACACATCATTTACTGACTTACTCTACTTTGATCTTTGCATTATTACACAGAATTCATGGAGGTTAGTCTTCTGATCTAGGTAATAATACAAAGAACAGCAAGTCACAGTAGCCATATTGGAGGAGTAGTTTGGGAAGAAATGTACCTAGTGTGCCCAGATCCTTCTTTTCACGGGGCTTGGCTTGGACTCTCTCACTGATGCTGACCACCGGCTGAGCCACATTGACCTTCTCTAGAGGTTGCACCGGTTCATTGTAAAGAGTTGTTAAGCCCCCTGGATTCTGCGTTGTCGGTGGTGCTGGGCTTTCCTCTGTGTCATCATTTGTTGGTGCTGCAAAACATAAAAGTGATAATTAGAGAACCATGCCAGACTTCATATGGGATAACACACACCAAAACGGTTCTTAACTACTTCTCTGTTCCCTAACACAGAATACAGCCAATACATCTGTTCCATTTCTAAGGATACAGCATTGGATATGGCAGAAGATCACAATTTATATAGTGTAACCACCCATAATGGCAGGGGTGGGCAACTCTGGCTCTCCAGCTGTGCTTTAACTACAAATCCCAGTCTGCTTCTGCCTCTGGGAATCATGCCTGTCACTGTCAGTCTTGCAATGCCTCATAGGACTTGTAGTTCCACAACAGCTGGAGTTGCCCACCCCTGCCTAATGGTGTAAATATAGGAGGGAGATCGTACAAGCAAAATAGTTTATACTAGAATCGAGTTCTGACTTTTACTTGCTACATGCTCGCGCCTGGTCACTGGTTCATGGTGCAATGAACCCTGAGACAGCGATGCAATTAGCATTTAAAAAGAATGGCAGCCTCTGTATTACTCTAATGGGAGCTAATTAGAATTCAGATGATGGTTGGCCACTATACAACCTATACATGGCTATAAACGCAGCATTTTTTTTTTCTCCTTGAGCCAGGATAGAAATTTAAACTTGACTTTTCTTACACAGCCCAATTACTGATCTGCCTTGTTACAATCCATAATGGAACTAATTAGAGATGATTATTGGGTCAGTGTGAATTTCAGAGCTGATCTCCAGGATAAGCAAATATCTAAATACAAGACATTCCTACTTTTATCATCATTTGCTTTGTAACTCTCTTCCAGATCTGTGTAGTAATCTAGAGTGAAACATGGAGCTTTCTGTAACAAAGACCAGTCACTGCTGCTCTATCTCCTTGTGCAGGGTGACTGGTCTTGTCCCCGCCCCCTCCTGTTGTCTGCAGGCAGCCTGTAGTGGGTGGGTCTATCGGGCCCCTCCCACATCTCTGCTCTATATGTGTGGCACACTGATGATGTCGCTGCTACTTTTGTAAGGTAATATCTGGGCATACAAAGGCATATGGTGCACATAAAGTGGATTGGAATCCTTTGTGGCTAGTGAGACATGCATTTTAGTAAAAGTATTTGTGGCTGGAGTTCAGCTTTAGAGGTTGTGGTTTCTAGGAAATAAAAAAACATCACCTGTCAGGCGAATGACCTTTCTACCCACCCTTCTCCCACCAGTGGCATATTTGGGGTAACTCTACTACATTAACATTGCACAGCCTTTAGGGATGTCATCATATCTTGCTGCTTCAGCTGTACTAAAGATGTCTCCCCTGCCCTGAGGAACCCTTTGGCACAGCGATGGGGTGAGGCACACAGACAGAAACCAGTTCTCATGTGTGTGCTGCCAATGCAGGCTGCAGGCTGAGCCAAGAACCTCAATGTCTGCTCCCTGCGTCTTTACATAAGAGTTATGGCCGATGTTTTATAAAACGTATTATTACTACACATCATTTACTGACTGATTCTACTTTGATCTTTGCATTATTACAGAGAATTCATAGAGGTTAGTCTTCTGATCTAGGTAATAATACAAAAGATCGAAGAACAGCAAGTCACAGTAGCCATATTGAGGATTAGTTTGGGAAGAAAGGTCTACCTACCTAGTCTGTGGTTTATTGGTTATTATGGGCAGATTCTGCCTGCTCTAGTTTTGATAAAGTCCCCCCACCGTGTTTTTTTTTTTGCAGCCAATGCACTCTAAAGCAGTTTAGCATGACGCGGGATGATATGTCGTGAGCAAAGTTTGGCTTCTGAAGGTAAACTGTCTGAAAATTATGGGAAGGGAAAAAGGTGAGGCCATAAGGAACCATTTCCGAATAGCGACCCTGTTTGGTACCAGAAGTGGGGGTGCTCAGGAAAACATTTCTAGAACATATCTCAGAACAACTGCCACAAAGGGGACGACATCATTTAAGGCAGGTGTACAACGTTGATGCTGAACTCTGGGATAAGCAAATATTGCCTAAAAACAAGTCATGTGTGTTTTTGTTTCAATCTTGTGTGCTTTGTGTATTTCTTCCACATCTGTGGAGTAATCCAGTGTGAAACTTGGAGCTTCCTATAAGGGTGCCCACACACCGTATGATAATCGTACGATAATCCCGGGAAATCCCGCGATCGTACGATTATCATACAGTGTGTGGAAGACGTGCGACCTCTACAACTGTAAGGTTGCACGCCTTTAAACTTACGAGCATGTTTGAAAACCCGCCAAGCACCGTACGATGTTCGGCATTGTGGTCATCGGAAGCCCGCCCCTCTGGGGCGCGGCTTGCGATCATCGCAAGTACGATCTGCCTCTCCAAGATAGGCAGATCGTACGTTTTTTTTTTTTAAGTACCTTACAACCATCGCAAGACAAAAGTCTTGCGATGGTTGTAAGGTGTGTGCCCAGCATGATAAAGACCGGTCACTGCTGCTCTCTCTGTGCACGGTGACTGGTCTTGTCTCCACCCCCTCTTGTGGTGGGTGTGGCCTGGAGGGTCCCTCCCACAGCTTTGCTCTCTGTACAGGCTATGTACAGCACAGTGATGATGTCACCACTACTTTTATGTCTGGGTTTTATACAGGCATTTGGTGCACACAAAGTGGAACTATACAGTGTGTGTGTGTGTGTGTGTGTGTATCAATCGATCGAGATAGATATATATATATATCTATATATATATCTAAGAGATAGAGATGTAGCGATTGAGGAATATATTTAAAGTTTCTGGAGCTCAGCTTTAATCTTCGCACTGGAAGTGTCATATGAGAGAACACACTTTATCATACAAAGCTACATATAGTGTTCTTCCATACCTAGGCTGCATGCATTGTGCTAGGATTACTGATCTGTGCATTATGGAAGAAACACAAACAGGTAACACAGCTTGTTATTAAAGTCTACATCGGGCAGGAAATCTGTGGTTAGACCTTTAAAGTCTCCATTGTACTCTGCCAGGGACAAAAGCTTCAACTTTTTTCCTCCAATAGAAAGTACAGAAAAGAGCTCGACGACAGCCACAGCCAATCCCTTCTCTAGTCTAAAAAATGGGTGGAGGACAACTCTTCTCCCCCACCCTCCAACTGTTACAGAAAAACAAGGTCATGTGACTAGGGGGACATGCTGCAAAGAAGGAATTAAAACTTAAAAGGCGATCAATGGCGTGCAATACACAGACAGGATAGATAAAAGAAGACAATACCATTGGCCATCATGTGGACTTGAGTTTGTGGTGTGTGCACAGAACTTACAAGGATTTCTGTGCAGTAATGTACAGAAATATGCAGCGTGCATGGATCTCCTTCACCCATGCATGCATTGGGGGGGAATTGATCAAAACGGGAGCAGACAGAATCTGGAGCAGCTGCCTATAGTAAACAACCAGCTTCTCTCTTCAGTTAAGCTTTGAAAATAAAAGAGAGAAGCTGTTTAGCTGCCATGGGCAACTTCTGCAGATTGTGACTGCTCCAGTTTGAATAAATTCCCCCCATTGCTCATAGCTGGCTCATCATTACAATACATTGGTGAGATCACCTCCCTTTCTCTGCACCGTCCTCCATACACAATATGCATGTATAAAAAAAAAATCAGGCACCATCACCCTCCTTACTAATAAGAATGGAGCTAGGAATAAATAGTGGGGATGTACCTGGTGTCCCGCAGGTGAGCTGGCAGGCCAGCAGTAGGATCCATAGATGCTGGAGCATGTTGCTTGGGGCTGTGTATGGGATTTCAGTGTCAGTGCCAGTGCCAGTGTTCAGTGCTGTTGTCCAGGGTTGTTTTTCACATCAACTGCTCCTCCTCCTCCTTCCATCACACAGGGAGGTTCTGAAAGCCGGAAATGTCTGCACTGCAGGACTGGGGAGGAGGAGGAGGACACAGATCTGACACATGTGTTCTATGTACAATTACATACGTGCACATTGCATCGCCTTATTATTATATAGCGCCAACAGTTTGCGCAGCGCTTTGCAATATGAAGAGAGACAGTACGGTTGCAATGCAATTAAAGACAAGATGGTTAGGAGGTCTTTGCCCATGAGAGTTTACAATCTAACCATGCTGAGGTTCCATAGGATGTGATATCCAACCAGACTGCATGTTATTTATTTATTTATTACAGGTATTTATATAACACCAACAATTTACGCAGAGCACCACTGTGCTGTTATATATACTTTACAGCTTTGATTTATTCTTCCTCCACAAACAACTATGTTTGTTTATTATTATTTCTATATAAATAATCCCTAGCAGGAATAAAGTCCCATCCAATTCTAAATGGGGGTATATAGACAATGCATGCCCCCCTCCCCCGATGGGTGCTGGCCTGATCTCTTGTGCTCCTGGTGGAGAAGGGAGGGGGGTATTTTGGCAGAGCAGTCAGTAGGAGCCGGTTCGGACAGGATTTGTGTGCATGCTCGCGTCTACATCCGCTCATCTTACCACTGCAGACATCTCACAGCCAGCTCTCTCCATTTTCTTTGTGTGATCTTATAGGGAGATCATGGTGACACAACCAGTACATGTATGGCCGATTGAGTAAAAGAAGGTCTGAATTAGAAATGTCATCAATGGGCAAAGCTAGTTCTTTCTGTTCAGGGACAGGGAAGTCAGAACTGTCCGCTGATGTCTCTTTTATATTATAAAGCAGCTACGCAGAAAATATTATTATTATACAGGATTTATATAGCGACAACAGTTTGTGCAGCGCTTTACAAAATGGAGGGTGACAGTACAGTTAATTTATTGTTTTGTTTTTTTTAAATAGCGCTGACACCCCAGATAGCAAGGATAACTTGCCACAAACTTGAAATTGTAATTTTGTTAACTTGCTGCACAGATTCCTGGCAAGTTGTAGACTTGCAGAACATCCGCAGCACAAGTTCTAGTTGACACTTTTTGAATTTGTAGCAAATTTGATTGGCAAGACTACAGCAAGAGTCCTGCAGGTCTTAGCAAGAGCTCTGCAAGCTCGCTGGTCTGGAGACTTGCAATGCAGATTTGCTGTAATTGTGCAACAAAATTGTGAAGCTTGGCAAGTCTGCAAGAGTTTAGCAAGTCATTTTCAAACTTGCAGCTCAATTGCTTGCTATCTGGGACTTTACACAGTGATTTACATAGTTGCACATTCACATCAGTCCCTGCCCTGAAGGAGCTTACACTCCAAGGTCCTTATCTCACATACATACATGCACTATATTGCCAAAAGTATTGGGACGCCTGCCTTTACACGCACATGAACTTTAATGGCATCTCAGTCTTAGTCCGTAGGGTTCAATATTGAGTTGGCCCACCCTTTGCTGCTATAACAGCTTCAACTCTTCTGGGAAGGCGTCCACAAGCTTTAGGAGTGTGTCTATGGGAATGTTTGACCATTCTTCCAGAAGAGGTCAGGTACGGACGTTGGACGAGAAGGCCTGTCTCACAGTCTCCGCTCTAATTCATACCAAAGGTGTTCTATGAGTTGAGGTCAGGACTCTGTCTAGGCCAGTCAAGTTCCTCCACCCCAAACTCGCTCATTCATGTCTTTATGGACCTTGCTTTGTGCACTGGTGTTGTGCACATGTTGGAACAGGAAGGGGCCACCCCCAAACTGTTCCCACAAAGTTGGGAGCATGAAATTGTCCAAAATGTCTTGGTATGCTTATGCCTTAAGAGTTCCCTTCACTGGAACTAAGGGGCCAAGCCCAACCCCGGAAAAACAACCCCACACCATAATCTCCCCTCCACCAAACTTTACACTTGGCACAATGCAGTCAGGCAAGTACCGTTCTCCTGGCAACCGCCAAGCCCATAAAACGCCCATCGGATTGCCAGACAGAGAAGTGTGATTTTTCACTCCAGAGAACACGTCTCCACTTCTCTAGAGTCCTGTGGCGGCGTGCTTTACACCACGGCATCCGACGCTTTGCATTGCACTTGGTGATGTAAGGCTTGGATGCAGGTGCTCGGCCATGGAAACCCATTCCATGAAGCTCTCTACACACTGTTGTGCCAATCTGAAGGCCACACGAAGTTTGGAGGTCTGTAGCTATTGACTCTGCAGACAGTTGGTGACTTCTGCGCACTGTGCACTTCAGCATGCGCTGACCACGCTCTGTCATTTTACGTGGCCGAGCACTTCGTGGCTGAGTTGCTGTTGTTCCCAGTTGCTTACACTTATAATATCAGTAACAGTTGACCGTGGAATATTTAGTAGCAAGAAAATGTCACGGATGGACTTATTGCACAGGTGGCAACCTATCACGGTATTACGTTTGAATTCACTGAGCTCCTGAGAGCGACCCATTCTTTCACAAATGTTTGTAGAAGCGTCTGCATGCCGAGGTGCGTGATTTTATACACCTGTGGCCATGGAGGTGATTGGAACACCTGAATCCAATGATATGGAGGGGGGGGTCCCAATACTTTTGGCAATATAGTGTACATACAGGGCTGATTTAGATAGGAGCCAATTAACCTTCAGTTACAATATAATTCCAATACAGGAGAGTTAGGAGGGCCCCGTTCTTGAGAGCTTGCAATCTAGCGTTACATGGAAAAGGGCGACTGGGATTGTGATGATGGGCAAAGGGAAAAAAATGACAACCTGGTAAAGAAAATAAAATGTAATACACATACAGAAATGTTACAGGTGATTCATTTTAGATATCAAGGCCCGTTCACACATACAGCAGTGACTGGGGGTTTTCTGCACTGGATCAATGACAGTCACCGCCAGGGCATATAGAAAACGATTGTCTTCTATGTGCCACGCTCACGCTACAATGCAGGTGTAATGTGTGGTGGGCTGGATTTTTTTTTTACAGCGCACTGGATGTCACCACACCGCTGTGCAGTGTAAAGCGCTGCCATATGGAGACATGAACAGAGTGTACACTCAGGGCCGGTGCTGGACCCTCCCGTGGCGCAACCCCCAATCCCCCCTCCGCGAGCAGCCCCATTCTCCTGTGGGTTAGCTTCTGCAGGCGACAGGTGGATGTAATTTATTTTGAAATAGCCAATAGCAGACTGGCTAATGAAACCCCACCCACTGAGCAGAGGAGCGAGCCTAAGAGAAAGTTGTCTCTCAGTTCCGCTCATCTGCTCAGTGGGCAGGTGCAATAGCCAGCCTGCTATTGGCTTTTGCAATTTGAAATAGATGGGGGCGCCATGGGGGGTGAATGGTCAAGGCTGCGCCCTAGGTAGCAGTGCGCCTGCCTAGTTTGCCTAGTAAATACTTATTTTACTCACTGAACTGCAACTCCATTTATAACATTTGTATCGTGTTTTTTCTGGATTTCTGGTTGATATTCTGTCTCTATCATTTACAATACACCTATGATAAAAGTTATAGACCTTTAATTTCTTTGTAAGTGGGCAAACTTACAAAATCTGCAGGGGATCAAATCATAATTTTCCACACTGTACACTTTGCAGAAAAACTAAGATAACATTATGAAGAATACTTTGGGTTTAAACCACAAATCTTTCACTGTAGTCAAACTCTCAGTGTCGTAAATAGTCCAGTTTGCCAGGCATATATGGTGCACGTACCTAGTGCCACAGATAGGGCAGTAAAGTCAGCCCTCCTGTACCAGGCCAGGCCCCTTCAGTTCAGCAGAGCATCCCGGGGACAGAGAGGCAACTCTGTACTAGATTACTCCACACGCAGCAGCAAATGGAGTAATCCCATTTGCAGACAACTAATTTTGAAACAGACCTCTCTCTTTCCGGGCCCTGTCAGTTCACCAGAGAGGGGAGGGGACCCTTTCACCACTCTCGGCCCTGAAGTAATATCAGGAGCTGCACCAGTGCGGCAGATATCAAACTGCCCCATTGCAAGGCACTGTGGGGGGAATTTATCAAAACTGGAGCAGTTGCCAAGGGCAACCAATCAGCTTCTCTCTTCAGTTTGTTCAGTTAAGATTTGAAAGTGAAAGAGAGAAGCTGATTGGTTGCCGTGCACAGCTGCTCCAGTGTTGATAACTCCCCCTATATAACTTAAAGGAGAACTATGGGGAGAGTGCAACTGTCACACATTGGCTCTATAGATTGAGAGCTGAGCGATCACAAACTGCTGATCACTCAGCACATGGCTTCTCGGTGCAGAGACTGTCAGTCACCACTCCCCATATGTATTTCCCTCTTTGTTCCTCCAGTGCTTATTGGAGGGACAGACAGAGGAGGGGGTGGGCACAGCTGGCTCTGGATCTAGAGAGGCAGAGCCAGCTGTCAGGTAGTGGGGTGGATCCCGACAATATTGTTGGGATTTTTCCCAGCTGCAGCACGGCTCTGCGCTTTCAGCATATATAGGGGGCAATCAGTAAATGTCCCCTGATGACCCAAAAGAGAACTAACGCCAAAAAAGGTTTGGCCATAGCCGAGTGGCGGCTTTGTCCGGACTGTCACCGCCGACCTACGCTGGGTTATGGCTGGCTGACAACGGATACACTGGCCTCGAAGGCCAGTACATCCACTACCAGCTATACCCCAGTGCAGGCACCCCCTCCAGTTCAGTCAGTGGTTGCTAGGACTGCTGGTGTCCTAGAAACAATGATGTCAGACAGGGCTGCTGATAGGTGGGTACAGCCAGCCTTCCCCCATCAGCCTTTGCCCTTCTTTTCAGGTTACCCCGCTGCTCTGGTAGGCCCAAGACCACAGCAGAGGGTGTCAGGATGGAGAGCGGGAGCTAACCAAGAAACATCCATTACCTGATCTGCTCTGTGATGAATGAAGTACAGTGCTCTTAGCGCTTCCTGCTTCAGAGCCGTCACAAACACGGCTAAAGTGCCAGGTAAACAGACAATCAAGCACAATCCTGTGCTTGTTTGTCTGTATTGGAGGGCAGGAGAGATATCAGAAGTCTAGTAGTATGTCTCCATAAAGAGAAACTGTCACCTATAAATGCTGTCACATATGGGCTTGTTAGCCCCTTTGTGTTAGCAAAAGGTAAGGAAAAAATAAATAAAAAGGTGATAAAAAAAGTAAAAAAAATAATGAAAAATGAAAACCAAGCCAGCCGCCCACACCATCTGATTCACATGAACATGTGTGCTTAGGGCATGCACATGTTTGTAAATGGGGAGGGGGCTGCCAGGAAGGCTGTACTGGGTCCCACGATTCCTCATGGCAGCCCTGCACATACCACTGGACTATTTATGACACCAAGAGATTAGCCACGATGAATTGAATACCTTCATTAATGAAAGTCCAGAGGCATGGAATATAACATGCCAGCTATATCTGCCTTCATGAGGAGCCAGCAGTATGGTGAAAGAGCTCATCACTATACCAGCCATGGCCAAACTGATTAGCCTTGATAAGCTGTAAAGTACTGTTACCTTTATTTGAAAGCAATCTGGCATAGTATAATTTTTTGCATTGAAAGAGTGATCTGGTGGGGGTATTACCTTAAAGCTCCATATAGACCTTTATTGCAGTTTGGAATGGCTCCTGACTTGTTTGATCACTGACACCTGGGACTGAGGTGCTGCAAACTCGATTTGGGAATGTAGAATTATTCTATGTGGTTGACTTACCATTCGTCTCTGCACAGGGTAAAATTCAAGCCCACTTGAACTTTTCAGTGACATATATTACAGGGGCAATAAAATAACAGGCGTGTAATGTCTAATAGTTAATTTTCCTTAGAAAACAGCCATAGCCCGAGCAGAAGTAAGGCCTGTTCCCTGTAGAGAAGGACCTTTGCTCTCTGTGTGGAAGCAGTGGTTTCTTGGCAGAGGCCCAACACAGCCAATGTGAGTCAAAGCTCTAGCTCTGCAATCAGCAAAACTCATGCTGATTGGAGAGCTCTAGGTCTGACTCAGGAGGGGTGTGTCAGAGATACCACTGCTTCCACACAGAAAACTGTGGTTCTTTTCTACAGCTTGCTGTTAGGAAACAGGGTGTTTTAGGTTGTGATTGCTTATGTAAGCCAGTAAACCATCTGTGAGATTTGCACCCCTGTTGTGTCTGGATACTTGTTCCAGTTCACTGATTTAATGTGTTAAATACTCAAGGTCAGCTTGACAGCAAGTGGGATGGTTCATGGTGTCCTCCAGATCACACTGGGTGGTTGTATGCCGGCTATCTCAATTCTTCTGTCGAGATAGGCTCTATTTTTATTTCAAGTTCATTCTGCTGCAAAGATATACAGCTTCTGTACCATGTAGTGTTTTACTGTGGTATTTTATGCGCTTGCCATCTGAAGGCAAGACACAGGAGACTTGCTTGGTGCACACTGTACATTCACATCTAACAGAACAAACTGGTCTCCAGCCCTACCCCTAACAACTATATAAATCACTTTACTATAGTGCAACATCATGTTCACCACAGTATGTTACAGAAACAATTAATGTTGGGGTGGAGTGGTTGCGCCAAAGTGCTGTTTGCTTTCCATGTCAGTTCATAGGCCCCTAGCATACACAAAAGAAGTGTGCCTCGAGGTCCCTAATATAAAAGACTACTTTAAAATCATTCTGTCACCATCATAAAATATTCCTAGAGCTTTTCTACTTTCCTGCTGAGTAAACCCTTGAAGCTGGTGCTGCATAGAGGGCTTCTCACCCCAGCACCTAACAAGCAGCGTTGCTTATGCTGATGTAGAGAGCTCCATCCATGGTGATGTAACAGTATTCATATTATTGCTGCTACACTGGCATGGTTGGGTTGGTATACATTATGAGTAGATCTTGTGATCCTAAACCCCTACTGAGTCCTCTCTAAAGCTTACAAACTGCAACCAAGATACACACACAAGCTAAGAAGCTTGATCAGCAACGCAGGAATGGTCGCATCACCACGTAGTATAAGCAAAATATTATTTTATTAGAGAAGCATACTGGATATAAAGAAACAAATAACACACCCTGGCCCTTTATTAAGCTGCTGAAGAGGAAATGTAATGGTTTTTTTGATCAATTATGTTTGTTGGTCAAACGTATGTAGGAACTCAAATTTTATTTGACAAATAAACATTTTATACAGGATGCATCCAAAGCGTGCTGGGCTTTTTAAGAAAGACCAGCACTGCGTACAAGCTGCCTACAAGTCATCCTGTGTACGACTAAGGGCACTCATAGACATGTGATGGCGGTCCTGCTGTTTTTGCCAGGATTTGGTAATGATCTTACATCTGTTAGGAGCCCCTTGTCTGCTGCCTTTGATGAACAGTCCATTAGACAGGTTAATAAAGTTGCTTGGATCATTATTCTTCACCTATGAAAATGACAGTGCCAGAGTGGTGTTCAATGGCTCCCCTGAATTATTTCCATAGGGACAAACATCACACTTTACCAAGACAAGGTGTCACATTTGTAAACCCGTTGTATGATCCTGTTGTCTGAAACAGTTGGATCACATCTGACCTCACTCATATTACAAGCCAGATGGTACCACGTCTACTTAGAGAGAGGCTGAATGTCCCTCTTCTGTGACTCTCTATGAAGTCTGTGTAATCCCATCTTCCTGCTATTTGGGTGTATAGATTGCCTTTAAAATAGCATTTTGCTTATATAATGTGGTAAACTACTACCACCTCTTTGTTGACTGGGCTACAAGTAGAGACAGATGAACGTCTCAGGAATTCTCCATAGGAGGAGCAAAAGCATAGGTTAGTGTTTATAAGGAAAATAAAAACCAGTCTTCTGTCAGTGGTCTTTTACTAAGGTTTACCAACTCCCAAAATGGTTCAGCTACAAGATGGGTAAGTGGTAAACTCCCGTAATAGAAGGCTAGAGAGAGGAATAAAGAAAGAATTTTCCACCAACAAGGAATGTTTATTAATTCAATCTGGAGTAGCCTTCTCCATTCTATCCCCAATCTCCTGGCTTTGAGATTAAATCTGCTGGGTTTCTATGACTTGATTTCATCATTTTTCTCAAACCACCAGTTCTTTTTTTCTTTCATGTCTACATTAGCGAGGACATTAAACTTCAAACAAACTCAGCAACTTATGACTCGTGCAGAATGCCATGTGAATGTGTTTATTTCATTGTGTGGCCGGTTTTGTGTATATTCATAATCAGTATCTGGAAATCTACAAAACATTCACATAGAAACAGTTCAGTGTGTGCCCCCCTGCGTAGACATGTGAACCCCTTGAGTCCGGGAGGCAGTGCACAGTTTTGAGCTCAGAGAAGAGGAGTGTTAGAGAAAATTCAGCATTTTTTTTTTGCTTGGTCTGCTATTTTCCTCTCTGATCGTCTCATAAAACTATACAGCTTACTGTGTCCACAACATGTGTTAACACAGCTTCTTCTCAGGTGTTCCAGTACTTTTTGGGGGAGTTTTCGGCATTCATGCATTTGGTACTTTTTGCATGAATTTCCCACATTTGTAAAGCACTACCCTTCCCCAGATGTAACTAGTGCTATCACTTTTACTTCCCTCCACTTCCCATTGCCTGCTGTTCCACCTCAGGCTCCACAAGAGATGAAGCAAAAGCTGACTGCACGATTTGGAAACCAAATGACTCCAAAAGAGACATATTCTGCTGGGGGGAGAAAGGAGAGGCCAATGCTGACCCCAGTGCTGGCCCAAGGGAGGCACTAAGAGTGGGGCCAAGAGAAGTACCAAGAGCAGGGCCTAATGCTGGGCCTAGGGCAGGGCCAAGAGCAGGACCTAAAGTAGCCCCCAAATCCCCAAGTGGTGTCCCCATTGGCCTGGCATGAACTTTCTGTATGTGCTTGTTGAGATAGGCCTTTGATCGAAAGAAGCTCCCACACTCTGAACATGGATAGCGCTTTTCTGCCTCTGTCTCAATTTTCTTGGGAATCACTAAGTCGCATGCAACATATGATCCGTTAGAATTTGGCTTCTCAGGTGACTTGAGGTCACTTCCATCAGACAGGTCACCAAATGAATCAGAACTCTCCTGTTCTCCATGCTGACATTTCTCCCCCTCTGTAAAGTAAGCATACAAAAAAATCCATGTTTAGTTTCCATGAAATTCCCGCGAAAAGTCAGTTCAAAGCCACCTGCCTCTCTTAGCAGAAAGGTCTATCTGCCTATCATGATTCATTCAGTTACATCGTGGGCAATGCATATGCAAACAAAATATAGAAGTCAAATACAAAGCTAAACTGCATTGTAATATATCTATGCCATTGCCCATGATTTTTGCTGCTGCACTGAACCAGAAGAAAACGATAATGTTTACCGTTTTCAATGCCTCAGTGTGCCATTGGATGTCGTTTGATTGCAGGAGCCAATCAGAAAACAGATACAGTTTAGTCTAGATGGCTAATTTCTGACAGATGACTGTGTCTTACGGCATGCACATCATTGTTCTGTTTCTGTGTTATTAATGGTCACATTGTAGCTTTCATTTTTGTCATTGCTCATTGATCATTTTGAAGAAAACTCTAACGACTATAGACAAACAAAATAACAATTTCTACAGCCAAATAGACCATTTAAGACCTTTACTGCCCAGTGTTTGTTCTTTGTGTCAGCATGGGAAAGGTTTATACTGTAAGCAAACAAAGTTTGGATGTCCTGCCAGAAGAGAGCATGTGATGTTTGATCTAAAGAACTGGTATGACTGATTATTTGGCCAAGGATTACCTTATTCTAGCGAGATTAAGGGGCATATTTATAAAGACATTGGCTGCACATTCGTTGAAGTCATTTATTTTTAAATGATTAACTACTTTTTAATAGTTTACATACAATATATATTAGTAAACGCAACTGCACCCAGTAAACCTTATGTGACAATTCAGTAAATGACAGTATTTCTTTCAAACATAAATCTTTGTCAAAGAATAAAAAGTGATGTGAATATTTCAGTCTATAAAGGGTAAGGAGACATGATGGAGGACCGTATGTGACACATGTTCAAATGTATTAATACTCTGCTGGGTAACAATGCTGTTTTATCCATACAAGAAAAAGGTTCTTTTAACATAATCAGTCTATATAATAAAGCTCAATTATTCTCCATGTAAAGCACATTGTGCATGGTATGATTCACCTGCACATTTGTCGGATCAAGCGACATCACCAACAAATGTTCCTTAAAGGAGAAGGGTACTTTCTGTTCTTAAGTGGCACTTCAATGCTTTTCAATCAAAATGGAATCTTTACCATTGAAGACTGCTGTACTTACTTGGAGGGTTATTTTTCGTAAAAAAATGTTAGTTTACAAAAAAATTACATTCCCCCTGTATACAACCTGGTATTCCCATGGCAAGGGAGCAGAAAGGGAGCTTGAGAGAGGTACAGAAAATGGATACCACTCTTAGAGGACAACTCCAGCCACAATTTTTATTTTACTTTTGGATAGAGTGGAAGAGTTACAGCTTCTAGCAGGTTTTATTTCTGTCTGTGACCTCATTGTGGAGATGCTACCTCATTTTATGTCCCTGTGATAACAAGAAATAGGGGGGGGTCCAGGCGTGTGTCACCTGGACAAGAAAGCAATATAGACACACAAAGCTCCAAGTCAGAGATCAGCAACCTTTTCCACATTAAGACTACATTCACATGGGCAAGTTGGGGGTAGATACTTCGCTCCATTCAGAGGCAGCTAAGCACCGCCCCTGGACAAAGCTGCAAAATGCATGCACTTCAGACCTCAGATCAGCACCAATGCATGCACCTCAGCTAAGCCCCAGTGCAGGCACTCCAGACCTCAGATCAGCCCCAATGCATGCACTCCAGAACTCAGATCAGCCCCAATGTATGCACCTTAGGCTAAGCCCCAATGCATGCACTCCAGACCTCAGATCAGCCCCAATGTATGCACCTTAGCTAAGCCCCAATGCATGAAGTCCAGACCCCCAGATCAGCCCCAATGCATGCACTTAAGACCTCAGATCAGCCCCAGTGCATGCAATCCGGACATCAAATAAGCCCCAGTGCATGCAATCCGACCCTCAGATCAGCCCTCCTGCATGCATTCCAGACCTCAGATCAGCCCCAATGCAAAAGCTTCGGAGCTCAGATCAGCCCCAAATCCTTTACCCTTATGAGCATAGGGTACCACTGTAGGCATGTGGACAGGCTCATTCCACACAGCACACCAACGTCCTTAGCCACCAGCAGGCTTACAGCGATGTCAGGCAGGTGGGCGGGCCAGTCTTTGTAATGGACAGCCTAGTTAGCTGTCCATTAAACCCAATGACCCGCTGTACTGGGGGATGCCAATGCCTGTTCTAACTCTTTCCTGCTGCGTCCAAAACCAAAAAAAACGTTTGGCTGGACTTGGGCACTTTTGTTTGATATTGTTGGGCACCAGGCACTTTGGCTCCCTCCCCTTACCCAAGAGGAGGAGCTAGCATGAGGGGTGCAAGTGGGTTATCACACACCCCCCTCGTGCACTTGCCTTCAGAGTCTTCTCCTATTACCAGTTTGTGTCACTATGCAAACAGCTCAAAAAGACTCAAACACCCCAAAAAAATGTTATTAATTTAACCATATATTCCAATGTTACCAGTTCATCAAAGAGAGGGCAATCTACTTGCATGTGTCCCCAAGCTGGCATTCTCTCCTGTGCAACAGGGGTGCTGAAGATTATTTAAGGACTTCTGTCAAAGCATTACCCCAATGCAAAAGGGTATCCTGACTGGTATCTGCATGGGAGGGAGCTGCATGCATACTGCCCCCTTGTCATGGGGATATCAACCTGCTTGGCTGTAATTTGATGACTTTTATAAATATGCCCGTTAATTGTTAATTGTCATACTAGTTTATATTCTGCCTTCCTATAGACAAAAAGACTTCATAAATAAGTAAAAATCTGGAAGAGCAAGCATTGAAATAAATGAGTGTTGTGACAAACAGGACTATAAGGTAAACAATGCAATGATAACTTAAATATGTTAATTAATATGTTGTTGCTGGAAAAAAACGGTGACTTTTCCCTTTAAGTTATGAGTTATATTGCATTGTACTTGTCAAGCATGCTGTAAAAAGAAAGTGATAGGTGTTGATTATAAATGTTTATCAATGTGACGAAACGTGCTGTACTCTGTGACCGTTTGTGATTGCTGTAATGTACTTATGCTATAAGTTCTTCCAAGAAAAAGTGAATGTGAAAATAAAATTTTTTTTTTTTTGGTCTTATAAGACATCGAGGCTTATTCAATGAACCAAGCAAGCAGAGGGCAGAAACCCACAGCGGCCAATTAGGGTTCATCTTTGTGTCACATGACAAGATTACACTGAAATTTGAATGGCTGCTACAATGACCATGTGTTTCTCTTTGTGCTCTTGTACCGAATAAGCCCATTTACATCATCATGCATCCAAAGTCTAAAATCTTCATCTAGATAACATGTTTGGGAGTGGCATGGATGTACAGTAGAGGGCAAAATTGTGGACACTTTCGAAGTTTGTTTAATTTATAGTCATATACTCTAAGACTGGCCATACATTGATCTATTTTTTTTTTTGTTCAACCCGCAAGGTGAAGGAAAAAAATAGAGCCGATTCCTCCGTCAACACAAACAGCGTGTCGATAGAGGAATCCCGCTGTTTGCAGTGTATTCTGACAGGAGCCGCCAGGATCTGTCAGAATACCCGATCAGAGTGGGCAGCTCATTGGCTGCTGGTGTTCTATCAAAGTTTGTGACTGCGTTCGAATTTGTGACCAGTGCCCTGAAACAGCTCATCGATCCTGAAATGTCACTTCTATCCGACTTTGTGAGTGCGATCTCACATTCCACAAAGTCGGATAGAAGTCACATTTCAGGATCGATCAGCTGTTCAAGGGCAGATCGGTTCTCTTGCACATACTATCTGCAATGCTGATCTGCCCTGGAACAGCTGAGAAAGCTTTGGAATTCTTCACCTTTTGCCGGTCACATATTGTACCGCAGAAAAAGTGGGCGTGACTACGTTAAAATGTGTGACCAAGTGACCGGTCACACATACCAACCCAGTCACAATCTTTGATAGAACACTGGCTCTGAGCGATCAAACATTTTCTGACTGGTTCCTTCGATCAGCTGATCGAGGGATGCTGATCGAAAGGGTGCTGACAGCGGCACACACAGTGCGAATTTTGGGCGGATCATCAAAAACCGTCCATAATTCAAACAGTGTATGGGCACCTTAAGTCTGAGTTCACACGGGCAGCAGCCTTCACCGCCCTCTGAAAAGTGACCCACAGTGGATCACTTTTCAGAGGGAAGTTGAGCAGTGGCTACGAAGCGTTCAGGAGGCAGATAGTGCAGCCTTCTGAATGCATTTAAAAAAAAAAAATCACCATGGTGCTTTTCTATCACAATACTGGGCAGCAACCGTATCCCGTTGATTGCAATGATCGTGTTTGACAAGCGACACCGCCTGCCAAATGCAACATGCTGTATATTTCTTTTAAACAATGCAAAGTATTGTGGCTTCAGCAATGTATGCAGCGCTGTTTGGCTGCAGTGCTGCCACTGCAGCAGGTGACCGGGGGGCGGTGAAATCGCAGATCAACCTCCTGGTTACCACCACCCCTTTGCGGCCCGTGTGAACTAGGCCTCTAAAGTGCGGAAACTCATCATGGTTTATAACATTTGATTCCAAATGGAATGCTGAATACAATTTGATACTATTTATTTGATTCAAACAGGAATGATATACGCTCATGTGTACACAAATGGCAATGTGTGGTTGGACAGTCTTTAGAACCAATAACAGCTTTGCACCTTCATGGCATTGTATGAACTACATTTCATTTCTCTACACTACAGTTCCTTTGCTGTGGTAATAGAAACTTCGTAGAAACTTTCATAGTAAAAATTGTATTCAGCATTAAATTTGAATTAAAATGATATTTAAAGTTTTTTGGAGACCATGTCTCATGTTTCACTCATATCCAGGGTGTAACATGAAACACAGTCAAGTCCTCCCCACTTACTTGAATCGCTGGGTTCTTCTCCCGGCATCATCCTGGTACCTTTTGAATTAGGCACGGCTGTGAGTGGCTTTGACAGGATCTGTGAATGGAGCAACTACAATTGCCATCTGCGGCAGAGGAACATGTACTGTAGTCCGCAGTGGAGTACAAATGCAGTGACGTCACCGCATTTATAGTCCATTGATACTCTCTCCTATCCCTTAATTGAAAGTTCGTACCTTGGTAAGGACATGGTGGAAGGAAGAGTCTGCAGGAGCCAGAGCATTCCACCCGCAGTTCACTGATATGGTTGCAATGTTTTACTGGCCCCAATGCAAAAAATAATAAATGCACATGTTTTCTTTTATTAATGTGTGTACATTTATTTTCTTGTAAAAGATGGATTATGCTTTTAACATGATGAGTTCCAGTACTTGTTAGAGTAAATATATCACACCAAATTAGACAAATTCTACAGTTTCCAAGTGTCCACAATTTTGGCCACTAGTGTGTATGGTAACATTTCCCTGGCTTTGTCCCCAGAACATAGTGAACATCAGTCAATTCATGTGCATATAATGTTTTGTCTGTATGCATTCCTGGTCCATCATTAATATCACCCTTAAAGGAAAACTCCACATTCACTTAGATTGAAGTGATATCACCTATATCACTGATATACAAATCATTTTGTAATTTAATATCACCTCTACATTTTAATCTGCAGCCAGCTATAATTTTGTAAGACTGACCAAAAATTCAAACAATGGAAACTGTGTTTGTCTATATGACACCCCAGAAATCTCATCTCCTACTTGTGTCATTGGCTCACTGTTTTTCCTAGCTGTCTGCACAGGGCTTGAGTTAAAATTGCAGGCATCTCCTGCATTTCTCTTGGGTTTGTTGTAGTAAGTGAAATACTTGCCAAGAGCAGTACGCATTGGAGAAATGCAAACATTCAGGGACTGAATGTGATGACTGCGATTAGAGCAAGCAGACCCTCCTATTTAGTAATCAGTTTGAGTGTCACGATTTGTTATTTAGTCAAAGAAGAGAACCAGATAAGAATGTGTAATGACATTTTTGCAATGATGTAATGGACCTGAAGAGAAGGTTTTTTTTTTTCTCAGCAAAAGTAGAGTTTCCCTTTAACATCCTGCTACACTGGTGTGTAATGTACACCTAACACCCCTCCTATATCCCACTTGCGCCCCCCTCTGCACGGACAGCCGGCTGTGCAACGCTTGCCTTTCACGCCACAGGTCCGGACACATTGGAACAGTGCTGCACCATTTGGGGTGGATTCCGGCCGGTGAGGGCCCGCACTGAGGAGGGCGCCGTGATGTGTTTTTACGTGGACTTTTAAGTAAGAGGCAGAGGAGAAACCTAAACAAGATAAAAGCAGATGAGACGCTGCCACACACAGACCTCAGACTCCTTAATAGCTATATCATTACCTGTATACATGTACATTTATTTCTCTCCTTATTCCTGACCATGGACTCATCACACAAACAAATTGTTCACACAACACACATGTCTCCATTATTTCCCCACAGCCACCAAGGAGATTCTAACATTCACATTCTACTATCTACTACTATCATTTTCCAGAGCTCATTTCTCAATCACTTCCATCTATTGGAGTGCCGCACCAGCTTGTGCACTGATCATTCCTTTCTAGTTTCTTAAATGAAAGTGGCTGTTTATGGCACAGGTAAATCCGCACAAAAAAAAAGTCTGGCACACAAAGAATCGCCAATAGTAGATTGTACAGAAGTAGTTTTCCATGGATAATATGTACTTGCCATTAATGCATGTACCGGGACTGGACAATCCCAAGAGCCAGGTAGCCAATGCTACTTAGAAATTACAACTGGTGTCTAACTTTAAGGTTTTCTTTAGTTGCTGTCAATGGAGCTGGCTCCTGGCTTTTACTGCACAAATGTTTGGTGTGGCAATAACGGCACCCCAAGTTGTAAATCCAATTAGGTTACACTAATCCTAAGCATTACTTTCACAGGATAAATATCGTTGCTGCTAATTCCAACACTAAACATAGCTAATGAATCACAGCACAAATATTATTTTCACTAGTACAAATTCACACCTAATACTTAGAGGTTAATACTTCGTGGCCCAACGAAGTACTGATGGGGGGGGTCATAATAATCTGGCCACTCAGTGTATATATATATGTATATATATATATATACAGTATGACAAAGGATGCGCGGGCATGATGGGTTATCTCAAGGGAAAACATAGCAGTAGCAGTAGTTGAGACAAACACTGTGTAGAACAGCTAAAGAGTCTCAGGAGAATAAGTAAAAGGAGCTCCATCAGCTGGTTGAAAAGAATGTGTATAAAATTATATATATATGAGTTATGGCTTCATGAAAACCTCTCTGAAATTACATTTAAATAAAAAACGAAACATGAAGTAAGATTCTACTGATCTAATCATATACAGTACATGACAGCCCTCCGTAGGTTGTAAGAAGTTTAATTCTGATCATTAATAAATTCTGTAAATTCTGTATTTTGCTTTAATATGCACAAGCATGTAGTGTTATCATAAGAATCCAAGACCGGTTGCTACTACTATTATGTGAAATATTTGTTTAGGTTGCATACGTATACAGTAAGGCCTCTAAATGGGTTTAGGTATTTAGTTTAGGTAATGGGTTTTGGTTTAGGTATTTGGTTAGTGCTTCTCTGGTTTCCTTGTGCCTTTGAGCTTTGTGTGATTTTACACATGTGAAAGTGACTGATGGCTGTGAGGAAATAACCACAATCTGGAGTACTAACACTTATACAAGAAGTCCATTAAAAGTCAGGGCCTCACTCTGTTCCCAAATACTCCTGCTGTCCAGCCTTTTACGAGGGCCAATCACAGCGGCATGACAATTGAGCAGAGTAAGGTTTAACACCCTTGCATTAATAAACATGCAGGAATCAAACAATTTGAAATATCTCTGTAGATTCAGGATCCCTCTACTACATGTGTACTGCAGTCAAATATCACACAAGTCAGGAAGAAAGTTTGCAGTGGCTGAAGCGGTTCAGCTACTGGGATGAGTATGGGTAGATCTTTTTGTTTTATGAGTGAGACTTTTGGCATCAGAAAGTAAGTACTTGTGTTAAAGGGCAAATGCAGATCACTTTGAGATACATCCGAGATCCTTCACAGCTTATTAGGAGGTATATATGACCTGCTTCTAGGCTGCATTAACCTGCTTCAAGGTTTTTTTCCATTCCCATTGATGTGCATGGGGAAAGAAGCAGTTCTGACATAAACAAAAGCCCATCTACAAGAGTCTTTCAAGCAGTTTAATTGCTGCATGAAGTGTGAGACTGTCATACATTTGTCTTATTATATGAGACAACTAAAACCTGTTCTTAAGGGGGCACTTAATAAATGCTCGCTAATTCAAGAATGATCACTATAGCTTTATAATCATTTGTCAATCCCTCAGGGAACAGAAAGCATGTAGCACTTGGACCTGTTTTGATTTGTACTCTCGTTTTCACCGTGGCTCCACCCCTGGCTAAAGCTCAAAATAGGGGTACTTCTTTGAGAAAGATACAGCCAGCACTGAGCCCCTGCCATCTCCCCTCTGTGTGCTGTGACTTTCATGCTGTAACCAGGGCAGCCATCAGAATTTTTGGGGCCCCTTACACGGCTTTAGGCCGGCCCCCCACCGCAGGATGCAGGTCTTAGTGACGCGCTGGACGCAGGGCTTAGTGACGCGCTGGACACAGGACCCACCTGAGAGTGACCCTGCAGAGCCCCCCATAGATGCTGCACAGCCCATCTGCGGCTGTCTATGGTCTGGGCTCTGAAGGGGTCTAAGGTGGGCTGGTCAGGGCTGCATCCCTCCCTCCTATCCTTCCTAGCTCCTCTGACCTGCACATATGGCCTCGTCTCCCGCCGGACCAGCCAGAAGTCACGTCACTAACATGACGTCACTTCCGGCCAGTCCGACATCAGACGAGCAGCATCGCTGATGGGGCCCCAGCTTGTCTCGAAGCCGCTGGAGCGGCAATGCTGGGGCCCTGCGCTGCTAGGGCCAGGCCTCCGCCTCCTCGCCCTTCAACGTCAACCGATAGTCATGTAAGGGACCCGGGCGGGCCCCCCAGGCTGCCCGGGCCCCTTACATGAGTATTGGCTGTACCCCCCTGATGGCTGCCCTGGCTGTAACACATTACTCAATGCTTGTGAACAGGCAATCCACATACAAGCAGTACAGTACACAAAAAGTGTAGTGTAGATTGGTGTACTATAAAGTAGTCACCACTCCAAGCTGGCTCCTGTGATGGACTACAATCTCAATACAAATTAGTAAACTAAACCTGAGATTGTAGTCCATCACAGGAGTGAGCTTGGAGCGGTGGCTACTTTACAACACACACAGGGACCATTGGGAACAAAAGTAGCCACCCTCCAGAAGGAAGGACAGTGTCAGCACCAATTCATAGATGATTTGAGGATCTACAGCTGAGTGATACACAAATAAGATACATTTTTGATAATAGTTAAGGTACTTAAATGCATTTTTAAGATTTAACTCCCGAGTTTAGTGTCACTTTAATCTACATTATAAGGGCACTAAACAGATTAATTAGTTACTAAATTAAGAACTATGTTTGTAGCTTAGGCTTGATGTTTGGTTAGATGGCATTCAATTATAATTGTCCCAAGTCTGTTGGCTTGGGGTGAGGCAGGCCATGAGTAGGCAGTCACTGTTGCAGTCAGAGAAATGTGCCTTCTCTACCCTTCCTGCAAATGTTCCCTTTTTTCTTTAAAGGAGAACTATGAGGTGAGTGCTTTTCACTCACCTCATAGTTCTAGCCGACCTGTGACAATGAGACTGTCACAGGTCGGCTCAGTAGATCGGGAAGTGAGCGAACACATACCGGCGTTTGCTCACTTCTCGATCCTGTCATGGCTCTCTGTTGTGACAAGGGAGGGGCTGGATCCCCCCCTCCCCACTCCGATTCTCCAGCGCTGACTGGCGGAACGGACGGGGGAGGGGGCGGGTACAGCTGGCTCTGCCTCTAGATAGGCAGAGCCAGCTGTCACTCACGCAACTGGGCGGATCCAGACATAATTGTCGGGATCCGCTTCAGCTGCGGCGTCTCATTATACCGCGAGCTACAGCTGGCGGTATACTGAGCCTAGGGTGACGGGAGGACGCTAGTTTGTGTCCTCCCGTTACCCTAAGGAGAACTATGGGGAAAAGCCTTAACCCCATAGTTCTCCTTTAATACTTGTAGACGGAATCCTTTTACAGTGGAGGTTGTATGTTTTTGCCTAATCCTTCTAAGTGGCACAGTTTACTAGAGTGGTGACTGCCATGCTATTGGCTAAGGCAATATTTAAAGCAAGTCTATATGTTAATTCACTAAGAAGTAGAGACAATCAGGTTGTGTGTAGTAGGATCACACATAACTAAATGACAGAATGTAACAGGGCAGTGTTTACAATCACTAAATTTGACCAATCAGATCAGTGAAAGGTGATTACTGATTGGTTGCTCTTACTACATTACCTGGCTTATCATCATATTTTGACAGTGAGTTTTAATTTGCAATTAGGAAAGAAGAACAGAGAAACTTATAAATATTGTACATACATTTCCATGTACTTGCTTTTTGCTTTGGTAAGCACTGTTTACTATTAACACATAGAATTCAATATTTATTAATATAGTAGTGATTCTCTTCCAAACTAGAATGCCTTTCTAGCAGCCATTCCCACCCACACAAATGCACTCATCCTTCCTTGCTTTGTAACTGCAGTATCTTAACTTGTCATTGAAGAACCAAGAGATTATTACAACAGACAAGGCCGGAGTGGAGCCTTCATTACACAAGTTATTTCCTTTCTCTAGCATAACTGCTTATACTAATAGTTCTTCAGCTTCTGTAGTTACCTCGATTACAAATGGTACAGAAGTTGCTAGGACCCTCGCTGTGCTTCTTCAGGTGGTCCGCCATATATGCTGCCCGAAGGTATTTGCCGCACACCTGGCATGGTATCTTATCCTCATGACATGCCAAGTGTGAGCGCAGACGATCACGTGTTGCAAATGAAGCGTTACATGTCTGAAAGCAGAAATAAAGATACCATTTTAAAACCTGTTTGGAAACACATAGTGGTTGTTTTTCTATAACAGTATCCTAGTGTGGGTCGTTTGGCAAAGAAAAGAAACTGTTATTAGCATTCCCTACTTTTGTCTTTGCGTACAAAAGTGTTGGGGTGGTTTACCCAAAAGTAGGTGCATGTAAAGCCCAACAATGAACTTCTCTTTTTTTGGTCTGTTAAATATTCCAATAAAAGTTTAAGTTATATCAGAAGTGCACAAAATACATATTGATCCTGCCAGAAATCTACAGTGGCTTGCAAAAGTATTCACTCCCTTGGCATTTTTCCTATTTTGTTGCATTACCACCTAGAATTAAAATTGATTTTTTGGGGGGGTTTGTATCATTTGATTTACACAATATGCCTACCACTTCAAAGATGCAAAATATTTTTGATTGTGATATAAAAAAGAAATAGAACAAAAAAACTGAAAACTTGAACATGCATAACTATGCACCCCCCCTCCCCAAAGGCAATACTTTGTAGAGCCACCTTTTGCAGAAATTACATCTGCAAGTTTCTTGGGGTACATCTCTATAAGCTTGGCATATCTAGCCACTGGGATTTTTGCCCATTCTTTAAGGCAAAACTGCTCCGGCTTCTTCAAGTTGGATGAGTTTCGCTGGTGTACAGCAATCTTTAGGTCATGTCACAAATTTTCAATTGGGTTGAGGTCTGGGCTTTGACTAGGCCATTCCAAGACATTGAAACCGTTCCCCTTAAACCACTCGAGTGTTGCTTTAGAAGTATGCTTAGGGTCATTGTCCTGCTGCAAGTTGAACCTCTGTTCCAGTCTCAAATCTCTGGCCAACTTAAACATGTTTCCCTCAAGAATTTCCCTGTATTTAGTGCCATCCATCATTCCTTCAATTATGACCAGTCTGCCAGTCCCTGCCTATGAAAAACCATCCCACAGCATAATGCTGCCACCACCGTGCTTCCCTGTGGGGGATGGTGTTTTCAGGGTAATGAAAGGTCTTGGGTTTGCGCCAGACATAGTGCTTTCCTTGAAGGCCAGAAAGCTCAATTTTAGTCTCATCTGACCAGACTAATCTGACTAGTCTCATTCTTCCATATACTTTGGGAGCCTCGCACATGCCTTTTGGCGAATAGAAAACATGTTTGCTTATTTTTTTCTTTAAGCATTGGCTTTTTTTTGGCCACTCTTCCATGAAGGCCAGTTCTGTGGAGCTTATGGCTTAAAGTGGTCCTATGAACAGATAATCCAATCTCTGCTGTGGAGCTTTGCAGCTCTCTCAGGGTTATCTTTGCTCTCTTTGTTGCCTCTCTGATGAATGCCCTCCTTGCCTGGCCCATGAGTTTTGGTGGGTTGCTCTCTCTTGGCAGCTTTGTTGTAGTGCCATATTCTTTCCATTTTTTATAATGATTTTAATGGTGCTCTGTGATATGTTCAAAGTTTCGGATATTTTTTTAAAACCCGACCCTGATCTGTACTTCTCCACAACTTTGTCCCTGCCCTGTTTGGAGTAGTACTTGGTTTGGGCCCCTTTTGCAGCAATTACTGCAATTACTTTTGCACGATATTCTAATTATTCGAGTTTCACCTGTAGATTGCACACAGGTGGTATTTACTTAACTAATTACGTAACTTCTGAATGTAATTGGTTGCACCGGATCTTATGTAGCGGCTTCATATCGAAGGGGGTGAATACATATGCACGCACCCCTTTTCTGTCTTCACCATTTTGTGTATGCCCATTACATGTAATCCAAATCCAGGTGGTAATGCAACAAAGTAGGAAAAATGCCAGGTGGATGAATACGTTTGCAAGCCAGTGAGTTCCTCGTGCTCTGTGCTGTACTCTTATCAGTTTCTAATGTTCCCAATTCTCATCTGTGGATTACAGAACACCTCCTCCCTATGTTATGGGATAGGGTGAGGTGAAGGTGTACTGTTGTGCCAGCACACTTCCTGTCATAGGGTGACAATGCTGATCCTTTATAGATAGTGTAATGTGAGTGAGAGTTGTCACTCTAGGACAGGAAGTGTGTTACTGGCAGGACACCAGATGAAAATAAAGAAAAGAATGCTGATAAAAGTACACTAATGCAGGTAAGCTGCAATATATTAAATGTTAGTTTTTGGGTTTGGATACACTTTAATGTCACTGTCCACTGGCTTTAATTTTGCTTTTGTGATGGTAGACAGTATCCTGAGCACAGTAACAGGTTCACTATGCTGTAGGGACCCTAAGGAGTATGTACTTACCACCTTCCCTGTGATCCCTCTTGCCATTCTGATCCATTGCCAGACCACCTAAGATTCCTGTTTAAGTTTCCACTTGCTGAGCAAGTCTGCCCAGGTTCACTTTAATTGCAGAGATTAGCTCATATAGGGGTAGTACATTGGCCAATTTTTGGTGCGCTTGATTTAAGCATCTCTTGCAATGATCAGGCCTGTATAACATCTCTATATAATAAAAATGAGTGCCTCTAGCCACTTCCACATGCTGGAAAGTCTTTGAATAAGCATGTGCAAATCCTAGAATGTTAATAACATGCCTGGGCCTCCCAGTGCTCCTGAGACATTGTATAGGTTGGACAGCTGTGCCTCTGCCTTAACCTCCCTGGCGGTCTGATTATCTCAGTTTTTTTTTCTTTTCTATTTTTTACTTTTAAATCTCACGCCGGTTCCGCCCCCCTGCGACGTGGGTGCTCGCCAGGGACAGAACCTGGAAGACGGATGCGGGCATCGGCCGGAGGGCACAGCGGGGCTCGTGGACAAGGTAAGTGACGCACAGTGTAATCCATAGTGTGGCTCAGGGTTACTGAAAATTAAAGCATTAAAGAACAAAGATTTCACATGGTGTACATATGCTAAAAACACACAGCTGAGCTGCAGCACTTAGCCATGAACTAACAACCTAATAATGCTTGGGATTATTTAAAATGCATCAATGGGAATGTATCAAAATGCTGGACAATTACACCACTAGTCTATTTCATCTATCTTTTGGGTGCTCCAATGGCGAGATATTGGCATCGGAGTTTATGCCCAGCTGCTGTGGCCACTCTCCCTGTTGGATATAACAGAAGACAAGGAACACACAAAGGGGGCAGGAACACTTAAAGGTTCAAGAATTACGGCAGGCAGATCTTGCTGTTGGAGGCTGACTCAGCACACCAGGCCCCACCTATAAGTAAAATATTCATTCAACATTCACACAGACTGAAACATCTAAAGAAATCCATACACTCTTTATGTCCAATTAAATCACCAGTCCCGCTTCTTTGCTCCAGAAAGTATATTCAGGTTGTGTTTCATTTTCATTTTGCATTACCTGTCCTCCTCCTCCTCTCCTCTCCTGCTCACTGTGCACTTGGCTGGCAAATCCTTCTGCAGATTTCTAGTTTGGAGAAAAATGGGTGTAAAATCATTTTTGTGGGCCCTTTCAATAGGTAAATGTGACTTGTCAAAACGATATCATATTCTGCTCAGCAGATCAGTCTAGTTAGGAAATAAAGGCAGTGAAAGTATTTCAATAATGAAAATGTTTCAAATGTTAATCTTATTACCCTTTACCTGGACTTGTAGATGCAAGAAATGGACAATTAATAATACACTGCAGAAACAGTGCCTGTAAAGTGGGACTGGTGCTTTAAGTCACACAGTGGAAAAATGCTGACATTCGATCACTTTCACAGGACTGTAAGCCACAGTCCCCTATCCCCAGTGCCATACCTCACACTTGTGCGGTCTCTCTGACGTGTGAACTTGTTTAATGTGTCCATTCAGGTGGTCCGGTCTGTGGAGAAAATGAAATCAAAGATCATTACACAGGAAATAAGACAAGAATTAGTCCATTAACTTCAAACATTGCATTTCTTTGTCCAATTGAGTTTCGGTATACAAAAGCGTAACACGTTGTCTTGTTTTACAGTCTTATATTTCTCTTCATAACAGAGCTTTCAGGTCATTAAAGGAATTACCGCACAGCTACATTTACCACACTCATGTTATTTTATCTTTTAAAAAAAAATATATATTTTGACTTCACAAAGTAAAGCTTCCAGGTGGTGAGCTTTGATCAATTATCTATAGAGGAAACCAGGAACGGAAGCTATTTATGTTGGTGTTAAAATAACACTTAACAAGATAAAATATCAACTCATGATAAAACACACAAATGCAGCGCTACAGACATAAAGTTTACTTCAGAATAAAACGGTATGCACATTTGTTGAAGTCGAACCGCACTGGAACATAGGGCATTGCAGTACCACACATTCCAATGATCACGATCACACTGCGAACGAAAGGAGCATTCGGGATCCATTGAAATGAATGGCACTGCAACGCACCTCCTGCAGCAAAATTTGTACCTGAAGGAGAAAGTTCTCCATCAGGTCCTTCTCTGCTGATTGACAGTTATGCCGTCACCACAGTCTCTTCTCCCCACTGGTGCTTGCTGCAGTGGTCTGTGTCCCTCTGCCGATACAGGCGGGGATTGAAAGGGACACAGACCACTGCAGCAAGCACCAGCAGGGAGGTGAACGGAGGAGCAGCGCAGCAGCAACTAATCGTAAATCAACTAAATGATGATGAGAATAGTTGCCAACGATTTTCATTATCGATTTTAATCGATTAGTTGTTGCAGCCCTAATATTTATGCATTTCCCAAAAAACACTCAATAAGTGCCCATTCACACCATCTGCATTGGAGCTGTGCTGGCCATTGTTTCCAGTGCAGCCCCAATGCAAGACAAGGAAATTGACCTTGTCACAGATTGGGGCCCATTCACACCTCTGCATTGTGGTAGGAACACATGCCTTCCTTTTTTTAACATAGCTGGATGCGACCAATACAACCACCTTGCACCCCACTGTGTCCGTAGAACTGAATGAAATATCAGATCTAACTACAACAACAAAAAGGACGTGCGATGTGCTGGGATCAGGGCTTCAGCACGCTGCCAGGGTACCGCACACCACACCTTGTGCGATTAGCACAGCCACTGGTGTGAATAGGCTCTAAAGAATCTGTCCTCGTATTTGCTGCCTCCCTCCTCTACTACATTGCTGCCACCTGGATGTTCCACGGCAATAGTGGAACAATGTTCTGTTCAAAAATGAGACAAAGGTTGAACTTTCTAATAACCATACAGACTTTTGACTAGCGAAACTAAAACCCCAGCAATAAAATCTCATTCCAACCAAGACACAAGTTGGAAGAAGTAGAGAGGGTCCTGCTCTGCTGAATCAGCAGCTGCAGACAGTATTGGGTTTTAGTTCTTTGCCAATAAATGATGTTTTACTAATTACTAAGTATAAGGGAATGCATACTTGTTTTATTGATAGCCGTGACTTTTTAAGCATTCCTTCAATAAAGATATGGCAAAAAAATGATTGGTTGTCAAAGAAGACTGCTAATTTTGTAAAAGGCCAGCCATGCTCAACCAGGGTTAAATCTAGAGGTTGCCAGGGGTTCCTTGAGTTCTGTCTGATTCACCTCCAATCTGATGGTACCTACATAGTTCCAAGACCAACGCCACTTGGCAAGGCCAGTAGCACGACACATTTTTAGCGGTGTTTAAGGGTGGCATTCTGACCATCACTTTAAGCCAGGGGTGGATATATTAATATGGAATTCAGGAGCCAGTCTTTCCAATCCAGGAGCTGGCAGGATTTATTTTCTTTTAGGAGCCAGCAGCGATGACAATAAATAGAAAAAATAGGGATGCACCGATACCAATACTAGTATCAGTGCCAATACCGAGTATTTGGGCGAGTCATTACACGCTGCCTGGCTTCCTTAATGGGATTTCCGGTATTGGTATTAGATATCGGCAAGTACCGGGAAAAAAATATCTGTACTCGTACTCGATACCGAAAAACCGGTATCGGTGCATCCCTAGAAAAAAAACTCAAAAGTTAGGCACCAGATGTGATTTTAAAGGAGGGATGGATACCTGGCTCCTGGGATTTGTCCAGCCCCGAAGTAAGCTTTGCATTCTTCCTACTGATCACCAATGTAAGGGGCATTTGTGCCCATGTCCCCAGATTAATTAAATTTAGTAAGGCTGGGTTCACACCTAGGCGTATCGAATATGCGCGTTTGTCGCGCTTTTTTACAGCGATCAAGGCAATCTTTGGTTTTCACATGTTGAGCGTTTTACAGAGCATAGGAACGCGCTGTAAAACGCCCGTGTGTGAACCAGGCCTTAGGGTTCCCTGAGACCTGAAAATGATTTTAGGGGTTAAGAAAGGTTGATTTAGTTGAGGATCAGACTATGTTTATAGAGTCATTCATTAGGAAATCCATGTTCACAATTTCTTTTTTCATACTGTATACTGAAAGTGATAGATAGAAAGCAGGTTGTCAAGAGACCCAAGCAGTTGTACTTTATAACAGGAAGCACAATATGACGAGTGTTTCCTCTCTCACTGCAAATATAAGTCATTGTTGAAAACAAATGTGTTCCTTCCAGTGTTACATGCATGCATAGGCTAATCTATTGAGCCGTGGATGAGATATGGGAGAGGGAGCCTATTTCCCAGCTGCTGTTGCCTCATACACCCACACATTCTCAGTGAGAGTTTGAATATATAAAAAAAGGGGCGTGGGGGGGGAGCTGATAATATCTCTATGTAAACAGCCGTGCCTGTGACATGCTTCAGAAATAAATGTCAGAAAGGATGAAGACCTGACACCTGCGCAGCGTATAAAGCAAGGGTTCATCTAAAGTACTAAGTGCCCAGTAAAAGCCAATTAAATGCTGCATGTGAAAACACTTCTTTTTTATTTGCAGATGATGCACCATATGCCAGCTACTGCCTCCTACTAGTCCGAGCGAATGCTGAGCTGGATATGTAACAACATTGTACATCAAACGTGGATGGCTAGCCAAAACTTTTTTCTTTGTTAATAGAGTGGGGAGAATTAGAACTCCTGTCAGGTTTTTACTGCTATCTGGGCTCCGTTAAGCCTCATTCACACTGGCAGTGACATACATGCGTTTCTAGGACACTTCCAAACGCATATACAGATTTTTAATAGTACATTTCACGCTGTGCGTTTACCTGTGTTTAGGTGCGTTCAGTTTAGAGGAGTTTACAGAAAATAGAATTCTGTGTGTCCAGCGGCAGATTAGGTACTCTGAATGTATCTAAACACATGTAAATAAGCGCCTGTAAACACAAGTACATTTAAAGCAGGAGAACTTGATCTGGGAAGCATAATGTTTGTTTTTACCTCCAAAAAAGTGTAGTGTGAATGTAGGCTATAGCTAGCCATACACTTGGTCATAGATGGAGGAATCCCCTGCTGGCGGTGGATGTGCCGCTGTCAGAATACCTGAATTGGCTGCAGTCACTGTTTGGCTGAGAATTTTCAGACCGGCTCCTTCAACAAAACCCAATTGAAATAACGCAATGGGACCACATACTGCATGAATGTTACAGCATCCGTCAAGTTTTTGCTGCTATCTGTGTCTTCTTGTCCAGGTGACACACCTGCCATTTGTTGCCCTTGTGCCATTTTCCCCCTCACTTAGGGGAGATTTCCTTTAATTTCCTGTTGCATCTCCTGAGCAGGAAGTGAAGTAAAATCTCCCCGGCAGGACATAACTTGGTAGGTGGATGGGCAGGAAATGTGAGGCGGGGAGGAGGTGCGACGTGTGGAGCGTGGATGCGAGCGGGTCTGGCAGCGGCGAGCGTGAGGTGGGGAGGAGGTGCGGTGCACAGCGTGTGGAGCTGTGAACAGGGCCAACTGATCAGAAGCCGATTAATCGATTATTGAAAAAGTTGACAACTTTTTCAATAATCGATTATAATCGATTATGTTGATTAGTTGTTGCAGCCCTAGTTTTAACCATTCCCTGCTCTATCCAGAACTAAAAGAAACAATGTGTTGACTATGCATATATATTAATGCAATTGGAAGGACCAATCCTCTAGCTTTTAAAGTCCAGCACCAGATTGTACCTTTCAAAGGGTTAGAAGTGTAACAGAAAGTGATGGGAAATACCTCCAATAGGAACCAAGACAGCAACAAAAAGCATTTTGCCATTGCCCACATTTCCCCTCATATTTTGTCCATGTGGCACAAACAGGTTTGAGGAGGGGGGGTTCTTCTGCCAAGGATGACAGATAAAAAAAAGCCATGGTGTAACCTCTGTGTGTGGGAATGAGACCCCCAATATCAAACCCCAAAAGATCCACAGAAGGGGTTCTCTGCCTAACTGGAACATTTAGGACCTAAGGCTATAGGAGAGGCTGAACCTGTGCCAGGAACCACTGAAGTTGCAGGTAAGGGGTCTTTACCTCATCATACTGACAGATGCTCTAACACTTTATTTAAAGCTAAAAAGTTTTGGCTGGATTTGAGTTTTAAAGACAACCCAGGTTGTTACTGTTGTTGAAATGCCAGTGGGAAGAACTCCCTTTATGGTTATGACAGGCCGAGAGTTCAACTGAAAGCCTATGGACGGAGTCATATATTCCTAAGGGGAATCCACCAAACGCTACAACACTTAGGGACTCATGTATGAACCTTCTGCCTTATGTAAAGCTGGGTGAATGTGATTCGCGTGGCATTGCCACCACTAGATGGCACCAAGGAGCAGAGGAAATTCCTAGTTGGAAGGTTTAATATGAGCCCATAGTATCACAAACCAAAATATGAAAAATTCAAGGATATTGTATGTAAAGGTAACATGTAAAGTTCTCACCCTGTCACTGCCATGTCAGAGGTTAGCTTAAAGCTGGCTAAACACCAGTAAAATGTAATTTGAAAAGAAAGTTTTTAGAATGTTTGAAAACTTAACCAACAGTTAATGGGGTCAAATGGATGATCGTTGTGGATTGCAGTAAGGAGAAGAAATCGAAAGAGCAGGATGGAAATGTTTCTTGAAGTAACATGACTCTAACAGTGAATGTGGTTTTCATTTGGGAAACTCCAATTGTTTAAATGATAAAATAAAACGAAATGTCAAACAACATTCTACAACTTTCTGATGGCAGTATTGTATGTTCTGACAAGATCTTTCATATGAACATTCGTACAAACATCTACCAGTCTGGCCTGGACTGGTTCCTGTGACAATGGCAGAGTGATCATGCCCCTACCCCCTCCAAATCAGAGCAATCTGTTTAAGTTGGAACTTCTCATGACAGCATTTGTAAACTTTTTCTAAGTTTGTGATCATGACACTACCTCAGTTTAACAGGCAAAAGATGCTTAGAACTTTTCCCCATGTGACAGGATTACAGCGTTTTCTATTCACTACCACAATGGGATGATGGAACAGCTATTCGCTCATTAAGGAGCTTGTACAGTATGGCTTAAAAACATACAAAAAGTTCCTGTCTAGCCTTAGCCAAAAAGGACTGCTTGGTTTAGCGTGATCATACCCTAAATAATCTCAACACGAGGACTGCTTTTATTACTTCGATATCTAATTGGCGGACAGCTAAATCTTCGTATAACACTCAGGACCAGATTTACTCTCTCAAGGCCAGGTTCCTCAATTAACTTTTTGACCTGCAGGCTGCATACAAGTGATCTCGGCGACATCGCCAAGATCACTTGTACAAAATGAGCGCGACTTCCCTGCTCTACATGTAGCCCTGCTTGCCCGAAACTAAATGTAAAAAAAAAAAACCTGCCTGGCGCCCGGAACTGCATGTGTCGGGCAATAGGAATTCCACACCTCTGCTGCCCCTCTACTCCCTGCTGCCCCGAGGCCGGGCCTTGGTGGCCTTGTGGGAAATCTGGCCCTGATAAAACTGATCTTATAAACTGTTTTCTAGTGTTAAGTCTGAAAGTGGAGGAAAGGCATCTTCTTCTAAACTGGTCCAGCACTCAAATGTTGAGGCTACGATAACAGTCTGGCCTGAAGGTATATTAACATCTGAGTATTGGCCTGCTTCAAATACAGGCATGATCTTCTCCACCCCCACGTGCAAAACCTGTCACATTCGTGACAATTCATGCAGAAATGATCTTGGCCGTACATGTACTGTGTTTTTGTGCTAAAACCTATGCATTTTCCAGTTGCCTAATTTATATCAAAACAATTCCCATTAACAGAAAGTTCAAATTGTACTTATGTTTTCTTACTCACCTTGAAAATCCCTTTCCACAGCTTTGGCAAATATAGGGCTTTCCTACTGAGCCGTCATGTGAGCGGACATGGTAAGACATTCGGTCCTTTCTCTTAAACCTCAGTCCACACACAGGACAAGAATACGGCTTCTCTCCAGAGTGAGATAGCTTGTGCCTGTTCAGGTGGTACACATCCCGGAAGATCTTTCCACACAAATCACAAGCCACCTGTTTCCTTGCTCGGTTTCTCTTTCGTGGGGTTGCTTGTTCGTCTTGTGATAACCCATTCTCCCCTATTCGAGGTGCTTGAAGGTCAGCATATCCTAACTGTAGACTTGTGACTCCATGCTGTGCTTCATGATGGCGGAGTCGCAAAGGATCGGTGAAGACTTTATCACAAAGCCCACAAGGAAGTATTGCTCCATCACGTAAGCCGCCAACGGCACCAAAAAGGACAGAGTCTAATACGCTTGGCTTTCTCGGCCTTCCACGGCCACGTTTGCTTCCAAGTCCTTGCACTCCCACCTGGTACTGTGAGGGCAACATTTGCGATGATCCCCCAAGTGCTATAAGGGAAGCCTGACTTGGCACAGCTGGCCCTGGCCGTACAGAGTCCTCCTCCTCATCCCCCATTGACCCTGCAATGCCTGCCCCGCTCATCACAGAACCATTTGTCATGTCCAATGGAAAGCCAAGATCGGAAGCCCCTGATCGAAAAAGCATGAGTTCTGGCCTAGTAGGAGGCACCAGAATTTGTACATTAGATTGCTTGATCACCTCCTGACATATGTCAATGACTGAGCGCATTAGCAGGAACTTAGCAGCCGTCATTAGCTCCGGGAAACTCTCCAGCCTGATAATGATGCGTGCCGTGTACGCAAAGTCTAAAATGTCCCCGAAAACCTTGGAGCTGATGGTGTGCATCTCAAGCTCTCGCGGTGTTGGACCTTCTGCCTCTCCAAGCACTGACTCGAAATACTGACTGCAGGCGGCCAAAACAGCGCGATGGGCTGGAAAGCTGTCCTCGCCAACGCGGAGAACCACGTCGCAGAAGCGACCTCCACTCTTGCGTTGCTGGTTGAGTTGATTGAGAACATCCGAGCTGTGCTGGCTCACCTGATAGGTGTAGTATGACGGGCCGCAGCCCTCCACCAATCGCTCCATGTTGGTGTGCCGCTGACCCTGGGTTATGTAACGATAGACCTACAGAAGGCAGTAGACAACAACGTAAACAACGCTTCGCATATGAACACACACAAACATACCTTAGGTGTATTCTGGATGCAAAAAAAAAATGTGGGATCTAACCCAGTGATATTAAACTTTCCAAACTGCATAGGCACAGGCCCATTAGTGTAGGGGTTCATTATAAATGTGGCCCCCCACCCCAGTAGGGACCCCTTATTGTGACAAGTGTGCACCCCAGTCCATAGAGGTAATATAGGCAATATATTGAGGGTTTTCCAGCATTCTCAGCTTTAGTACACTTGACTTTGCTTGAGCTAGTGGTAAGCCAAGCATGGAAGACAAGTTCAATAGGGGAATGGGCATGTTTTGGAATGGGAGGATGACATGAATGTGAAGGGAAGAGTTGTAGGGGAGGGGAGCCCAGGGGATGATGGGAGGGTCCAGTGCGGACGCAGAATAAAAGGCCGACAGCAGTACCGGATGGAGATATGAAGGGGATCCCTACTGCACATTAGGGGGTTCAGGGGTGATGTCACCTGGGTGCGCGTACTCGCCTGGCTCCTCCCCTCTACGCGGATGCGCGCTGCGCGG